AGGGATGTTCAATATTTTAGAAAATGGCCAAATTTTCTTGAGCTTTATTCTTCAATGAAGACTGAATTCCTCTGTTGAGTAAGCGTGAAATAACACATTCATTGCCCAAATGTTGGGTGAAAGCGATCAACATTTTATTTGCATCATTTTCTATTAACACGTGAATTTCAGATACATAGAGATACATTAAGAACAACCCACAGGAGTGCGATTGTGGGCATGCAACCCAAACTATGGGCCATCTGCACTCCATCGCAGGAGAAATAGCAAAACGACACAAACTCTCTCCTGAAACCCTCTCAATGTGGCAATCTTCCTTTGTACGGCTGATGTGGATGCAGAGTAACAACTACAATTTCACATTCAGGTGGCAATCAGATGCAGACATCGGCATCTTCTAGCTCATGAAAATATTGCTGCTGTCATAGACAATAGAACCGGACTTAAAGAAACGTGTTACTAGTCAATTGTGTACGTTGGCTTCCACGACCAATACAGTCGTGTATCGCTTCACGAGAGTGATACGTTACGCGAAAATTGCTCGCTATTAAGTGAAAATTCGTTAAACGAGCATCGCCCCATGTTAAAGCCGAGTTACGTTTCAGGCCCAAACATTTTCCACTCTTGAACAACTTTGTTTTTACTTTCAAAATACCAATTATAATTTTATAATAAAGTAAGAAACCATCCAACACCACACGTGAAGAAACAGCGCTTGCAGGTGCCTGTCCACAGGTCTGCAATTAATTAGCGGGCTCCCCCAACCCCTCCCCCCACTCCCCATCCACTAGTTCAGCACACCTGCATGTTGGAGAATAAACCCACAATAATTACAACCAGCCTCATCAGGCGACAGCCAGAATTGTGGAGAAAGCAAGTGTGTCACATCGGCAATTGCGCCAATTTATATATTTTTTCAATCAGCAAAACCGGGAACGCTTAAAGGCTACATTACCTTTTTGCCAAATGAACCTTATGGCGGGACCCCAGGTTCCAGAAAAAACGGAAATCAAAATCGTAATTAATTAATTTATTTTTGGCGACTCCATCACACAGCGCACATAAACGCCGTGACCCACCTGGCGTGGATCATTCTGTTGTGAACTTGTCATGTAGTTCAAGCGCAATGAGGACGAATGCCAGAAGAGCTGAACAAGCGAATGCACTCCATGCTTGGGTATGGGCAGGATCACAAGTCTTTTCCAAAGCTGCTCAAACTCCCTACACGACTTAAGTCCTTTATTTGTCACAACGGTATGCATAATACAGTGAAACTGCTTTCTTATCTTCATTATTATTTGTGACCTACCAATGTCTGCAGCCAGGATCAATCGATAACAATCCTATTACCTGCAGATATTTAACACCGTTAGTTCCTCCTCTTTGATATATAATACTTCTCTTGTCCATATGCATCTATGCAGATAGTTTTTTTTGCAGTTAAGCCATAGTCTCCACACACCGCTCGTGTCAACACGGATAAGAGGAGCGGCGACCCACTACTCTGTAGAATAACATTGGTGTAGTGACGTAAATGGAGTCACGATTGCGTTTAGTGCCAGCTACTGTCACAAGAGTGGAACTCTGCGTCTTGGGCCTCTCTCTGGCACCAGAGTCGGTATGGCATGGAAGCGGGCCCGAGGGGGCATGGTTCCGGTGACAGTCAGAGAGAGGGCAAGTAAGGACGTGACAGTCTGGGTGAACCCGAGACGGCACGTGACCGGGACAGGGTAGCGACAAAGGATGGCTTGAGGGACACGTGATGCTTGGTCGATAGCCTTTGGTGAGATCCAGGGGGCGTGGCCGAGGGCGGAGCGAGGCCACGCTCGGGAATATAAAAGGGAGGTCCCGAGAGCAATCGCGGCTGTCTGCTGGAATGGAACCCTCGGTGATACATCTCTTCGGTCTTTGGTCGTCGGTTTTCGGTCGTTACGCTCGGCATCGTGGACCAGACAGTGTGTTTGTTGCTGACCTGACCCGTTTATGTAGTTACTCTGTTGGGGTCTAGTAACTGTGTACGTTTATGTAGAAACCCTGTTGGGGTGTTATAATAAACGTGTTGCCTCCAAGTTCAAGTGTATGCCTCCGTAGAACCCACTATATTGGTATAAACACTTGTTGCTGTTTACAAAGTGTGTTCACAAATCCACACTGAGAAACACGATGATTGACAGAGGGGTGTAAACTATTTTTTCGATAGTGTATTTAAATAGAGCTACTGCAGATGTGAAAACCACAGCAAGAACATTTCTTGCTGTTTTATATTTTTATTATTTTATTGTTTCCCTTCTACGTGACTTTACCGAAAGAACCAAGAATAAGACAACACTTGCCACCATCCTTCAAACCCATTGGTGAAAAAGAGCAAAGTTTTTGTTTACATTATTTAATGTTTATGCGAGAGCCGGGGGGCTTACTGGACCCCGGGGTCCCGCCATAATGTTCAATTGTTGTAGCAACCCCGAATAGAGTGAAAGTGTGTTTGCTAAAAACGGACGCTGGGTGGCGATCGACACCAAAATGGAGCGAGCGAGAGGCGTTCATCGGCTCCTTCACAGTTCCGAGCCAGTGGTGGAAATTCCACATTCCGATAAAAATTAGAATGATGTGAACTTGTAATGGCGCCACCATCAAAGTATTCCGCTCACTCTCAAAGAGAGAGAGAGGGAGAGAACTACTCAGAGGGGTGAGGCGCTACGTATGTGCGGGAAGCCAGCAGCTCTGTGACTCAACTCACGAGATATGTTCAGCCAAGTGAACGGGCATTCATACACGTGGGAAGGAACATGGAGAAAACCCTTACGCAACGTGGGGGGCAAATACTGCACGGTACCATTGTTGGAAACCATTGTTTTCACTGTGCATGCTCAAAGAAATGTTGTGAAAACATACAAGGAATCCTGTAGCACACTATGATGCAATAACGGCAAAATCAAAGCACTGAGCCACATCATTCCGACTTTCATATGCAGGAAGGAAATTGTGAATATGCGTGGCAACATTGTTTTTTCCGTAAATCCGATTATTTGTTTGTGAAAAGCAGTAAATAAATCCTATATAACACCAAAATACTATAGCAGCTAAACCAAACTACAGTTTGTACTCCTAGAATGAAGTGGGTTGCGTTCCTGAAGAACACCGCGTTATGGAAAAATCGCGTTATAATAAATAATATATAATATAGAGTAAAGCACAATTCGCGATAACACGTGAGGTGCGTACGACCGAGGCGCGTGGGTAGCATTCAGAGGCATCCAGCAGCATCCCAATGCCTTGTGCGATGACGTTGCGCCAAAGCGCAAAGTACTTCCATTTACTCAATCGCGTTATATTCAATTCGCGTCTGCGTTATAAAAACATGTTCCTGAATAGATTAATTGCGTTATATCTAATTCGCGTTGTGAAAACACGCGGCGTTCTAGGAAAACAGGCTGTACTTGGCCACACCATTCCCACTGTGATATGCACAAAGGAAGTTGTGAAATTGTGTGGTACCATTAGATTAGTTGTAAATACTTATTTTTGTTGTGAAAACACGTAAAAATCCTTATTTTTTTGTAAAAACATAAAAAAATACTTTGGCACACTATCATGCTATGACAGCAAAACCAAAGCACTTAGCCACATCATTCCCACTGTAATATGCAGGAAGGCGATTGTAAAAAATAATACGTGGTAACACTGGTTTTGGTGTGAATCGTGAAATATATTTGTGAAAACCCATACGTGTGATGTGCATTTTATTGGTTTAGCTTTGGAGTGGATATTAATTGGACCTCTAATAAACCAAGACACCACATGGCCTGTTCTTCTGTCAGCTCTCCCATTGCCCTTTTGTCTCTAAGGCCGTTCTTGCACCTTTAAAGCTGAGCTAGGTACGGCTGAAGGAGGACGTTTAGCTTTGCCGATAATCCAGGATTTGAACAGAGTGGAAACTTTCCACCTGATCAAAAGCAATGTTCTTAATCTACAAAGCCAACCATGATGGGTTTTTAAAGTAGTTTGGTGTTTGGTGGATAATAATGGTTTCAACGTCTACTATGCTGCACGTGATTCGCTCACTCTTGAAGAGGCAACGACTCAGGTTTGTGAGCCAGCACTACCAAGACTCGCTCAAGCCAGAGACAACCCTCTCATGTGGAACTGATGGAGATGTTTGTTATATAACGTTGTATTTATGCTCTAATATTCCTTCATGGGGGTTTCACAAATGTTTGCTAAGATTCACAAAAAAACTGTGTCACCACATATGTTCACAATTGCCTGACCTCATGACAATTGGAATGATGCGGCTTTGCCGTTAGTGTTATAATGTGTTACGTGATTTGTCTATGGGATTAAAAGTGATAATAATGTGTTATAGACATTAGTGCCACCACACAATTTCACAATTTGCCTTTCATATGACAGTTGGAGCGGTGTGGCGAATTGCTTTAGTTTTGCCGCAATCGCGTTTTGTGTTATAGGATTTCTGTATGGGGTTTCACATTGGTTTTATGATTCACAGCGAAACCAGTGTTAACCACAGTTTTACAATTGCCTTTCTTAACATTACAGTTGGAATGGTATGCATAATGGCTTAGTTTTGCCGTCATGGTGTTATAGGATTTTTTTAAATATATAGGATTAAAAGCGTTTCGGTGTTATAGGATTTTTTTAATGGGATTCACGGCGAAACGAATATCAAACGTCCAACCAACCGCGGTCTCTATCCCCATGCACTAAAAAACACCGCACGCGGAACGAGTAAAAGGGGTCGCTCGCGGGCGCTGTTGGGGTCTTGGTGGAGAGGGAGGGGCGGGGTGGGGATAGCGGTAGGGAGGGAGAGGGAAGGGAGGGAGAGTGAAGTGAAGGAGGAATGGGGAAGGGAGGGGAGTGAAGGAGGAATGGGGGAGTGAAGGAGGGATAGGGGACTGAAGGAGGGATAGGGGAGGGAGGGAGAGATGGGTAGAGGGTTGGGAGAAGGGAGGGATGGGGTAGGTGGGGGGAGGTAGAGTCAGGGAGGGAGTTGTCTCGACGCCGCTGGGTCGCGACTATAAAGGGGAGGGGAGGAGGGAGTCGCGAATGAGACCGCGTCGTGATGTCGGGAGCGGAGCGCGTGGTGCTGGTGCTGGGAGGAGCCGGGGTCGTGGGATCCGGGGCCGTGCGCGCCCTGCTCGAGCGAGGTGAGAGGAGTGGGGGCGCCTCGCCACTAACTCTTAAGTGGGTTAATTAGCACTAATCCTCACAGCTATGGCGGTGGAGTCCCTCCCATGTGATCAGGGGTCCGCAACCAAAATAACAAGAAGCGACATTTAGATTTCGAATTCGGTAAAAAAACCTCAATATTTAAATAGCACCACAATGCACTGTGTGGTGAATAGGAGACGGCGGTCCTTAATAAGTAACGACACGGAGCGTCCTTAAAGAGCCGCGTTCGGCTCCGGAGCCGCAGGTTGCCGATCGCTGCCCTGGGGCAGTGTGTCGTCACTACTTCTAGAGGGGGGCCTCGTCACCGCCAATAGAAGGCGTCCCATCACGACCCCCTAAATATCGGGAGTTCACTGCCAGCACCCAGGGGGTATCATGGCAACCCCTCATTATATTGGTTCTCATCACCAGCACTTTGAAATGTTATAGGCGTCTCTTCCATATCCCAATTTGAGTCCAATCTCCGCCCACATTTGGTCTCACGACCACGGGATTCACGGTGGGATCCGTGACCCAGTTCCGGCCGTTTGCTGTGTCACTTGACGAGATGTCTGACACCACCGATGTGCCGCCCTTGCACAGGGGGGGCAGCAGCTGCTGCCTGCAGCGCCGCCTGGTGGCATAGCGGAGAGGGGCGGTAGGGGTCTGACGGCGGTATTGGTGATGATGCTTATAGTGGTGAGTGGTGGGAGCAGACTATAAACATGTATTTGACCAGGTAAGGCCCACTGAGCTGTATAGCTCTTTTCCAGAAGTGACCTGGCCACGAATGATAGCTCAACGAAGTGGCCTATCGTGTGTGGAAATGTATGCTGTTGTGCTTATACTGATGGTGTACAAATGAAACAAACTCTGGAACGAATCGAACATTGATTATACACGATTCGATGCATGTATCGGGCGCATGAAGTACCGAGAACTAAATGTTTAATTTGACCAAGTAAGGCCCACTGAGCTATGTAGCACTTTTTGCAGAAACGACCTGGCCACAAATAATAGCGCAGCGAGGTGGCTTATCATGTGGAAATTTATAGCAGCAAAATACTCTCAACGCGTGTTTCAAAATGTGGAGCGAAAAATCGGAGGACTCAGGGAACAAATCCACGCGACCACTGGGAGAACATGCCAACTGTACATATACATCAGGCGTCAGGTTCGGAATAGAACCCACGACCTCCTGCATACCAGGCTAGGAAGTTAACATCTCGCCACTGCGGCGCCCAATGCTAGAGACACAGAGACATTGAAAGTAAAACAGAGAGACGTACACATAGTCATGGGGAGACACGGACACAGAGTGACCAAGGCATTGGAAACACCCATAGACACAAAGACACTCAAATACTTAGAGTGACGGGGAGAGAGACGTACCCACGCAGAGAGACAAGGGTACGCATAGTGAGACACATACACACAGGGAAACACGCAGAGAGACAAGGGTACGCATAGTGAGACACATACACAGGGAAACACGCAGAGAGACAAGAGTACGCATAGTGAGACACATACACACAGGGAAACACGCAGAGAGACAAGGGTACGCATAGTGAGACACATACACACAGGGAAACACGCAGAGAGACAAGGGTACGCATAGTGAGACACATACACACAGGGAAACACGCAGAGAGACAAGGGTACGCATAGTGAGACACATACACACAGGGAAACACGCAGAGAGACAAGGGTACGCATAGTGAGACACATACACAGGGAAACACGCAGAGAGACAAGGGTACGCATAGGGAGACACATACACACAGGGAAACACGCAGAGAGACAAGGGTACGCATAGTGAGACACATACACAGGGAAACACGCAGAGAGACAAGGGTACGCATAGGGAGACACATACACACAGGGAAACACGCAGAGAGACAAGGGTACGCATAGTGAGACACATACACACAGGGAAACACGCAGAGAGACAAGGGTACGCATAGTGAGACACATACACACAGGGAAACACGCAGAGAGACAAGGGTACACATAGGGAGACACATACACACAGGGAAACACGCAGATAGACAAGGGTACGCATAGTGAGACACATACACAGGGAAACACGCAGAGAGACAAGGGTACGCATAGTGAGACACATACACACAGGGAAACACGCAGAGAGACAAGGGTACGCATAGTGAGACACATACACACAGGGAAACACGCAGATAGACAAGGGTACGCATAGTGAGACACATACACACAGGGAAACACGCAGAGAGACAAGGGTACGCATAGTGAGACACATACACACAGGGAAACACGCAGAGAGACAAGGGTACGCATAGTGAGACACATACACACAGGGAAACACGCAGAGAGACAAGAGGGCTCTGGAAATGTAAAGTTTAAAATTATGGACAGTATTTCATGGTACACATAACCAAAGGTTTAAGTATAACACGCGTGAATCCACTTTCTGTACTGCCTTCTCCTATACTGAACACCACTTAGCCAACACCAACCCTTGCCTCCAAAGCGCTGGGTCACAGCCTAACACCACATCGCCTGTTCGCCACAGTCATGGATGTGAAGCGAGTGGCACTCAACTGACCCTCACGGTCACAAAGAGGAAGGGCTCTAATTGGACTCATCGCGCAAAAAGCTACTGAAATAATCTTCGCCGTGTAGGGTTCACGAGAGAAGTGGCATTGCCCAGGAGTGGTGGCGCTGTAGTTCGCACCCTGAGCTATGAATCCGGCAACAGGAACTCGATTCGAAGCCACGGCTTCATTTCTCAATGAACATTGTCCGAGCCGTCACTGGTAGACGAGAGTCAGTGGCACATGGCTATTAGCCACATACATAGTGAGAGGTAGACTGAATGTGATGTACCGGAAGCGAAAATATTTTCCAGGTCATTGACCCGGACAGACCCAGCTGTCATGAAGTCACACTGACCAGGGTGGTGAAGTATGGTCAAACAAGCCCTATGACTGGTGAGGCTCTCCTGGGTAAACAAGTGTAGTCATTTTTTTATTTAAAGCTTTCGTGACTGCAGTGATTCATATTCTTGGTTCTTTCGGTAAAGTCACGTTGAAGGGAAACAATAAAATAATACAATATATTTATAATATATTTTATTATTAAGAATAAGTGTAGTTATACTAATTGCATGGGGAGGCCTTTATCTAGCAGTGGATTGTACCTTTAAGCTCATTATCAATCACATTCTAGATTATACAAAACGAGTGTTAAATACAAGTACGCTCAACTTTTGTTGACGATGAGTTTGCACGCTCTTCAGTGGAAGGTGTGGTGTTTGGAAATGAGCGCGTGAGTGAGATCAATTGTGCCACCGTAGGGCTATTGTGAAGGATGGCAACGGTGTGGGGAGGTCTTCATACAGCAGTGGAACGACCATGGCTGCTGCTGATCAATAGTGTTGAATGTAACCCAGCGCCGGCTATTGCAGAAACACACACTCAAGCCGTGTTTGTGTATTGGGTGTAAATATCTCTGCAGCATTCCGAGAGCACGTGAACGATCATCGCCGAGGACGGATTGCATGGGGGACTTTGCACTTGCGGTGCGAGGTGTGATCAGGGATAGGGTCTCGTTTGAGCTCCTGTATCAATCAACAGCTACTGCAGCGGCAAGTAGCCACAGCAATGACTAGCAACAGCAGCAGCATCAACTTCATCACTTACAGTCGCAAAGGAGCCCAAATTTGCTACCACGGTTGTCGATGATGGTGGTGATGAATATATATAAACTCCGATTGTGATGAATATACACTCTATTTATAATCAGGTAAAGACCCCAACATCATCATGATGAATGCATGGAATCATGATTAATTGATGGTGGTGGTGATGATGATGATGACAATGATGATGGTGATGATGATGATGTAGGTTTCCGTGTGGCTGTCATCTCGCGAGATGAGGCGCGGCTGGGGAAGCTCGCTGAGGACGTCCCGGAGAGCAGCAAACCCAGACTCGTGTCGCTCGTAGGGAATGTGGGTATGGGCCCAACATCACGACCATCGCTCAACATCAACATTACCACCACTATCACCCAACTTCAACACCCTCACCACCATCAATGCCATCATCAACACCAACTCCACCAACACTGTCACCACCATCACCACGAACTCCACCATCGTCAACACTATCAATGCCATAACCATTCAAACATCGACGACCTGACCCCTACTCACTGACCTCACTGGCGACGTGATTGTGCTCCACACCCTAATTCAGCACCATCAAAAACCTTAGCCTCGTACACCTACAATCTGCACCACTACGAATATCAAAACCATCCTCCTCCAATACCCCTGTCTGCCCCGTCTCCCCCCCACACCCCATATCTCCCCGTGTCATCCCGTGTCTCGTCCCGCGTCTCTCCCCGTGTCTCTCCCCGTGTCTCTCCCTGTGTGTCTCCCCGTGTCTTGTCTCGTGTCACTCCCCGTGTCTCTCCCTGTGTCTCTCCCCGTGTCTCTCCCCGTGTCTCTCCCCGTGTCTCATCCCGTGTCTCTCCCCGTGTCCCATCCCGTGTCTCTCCCTGTGTCTCTCCCCGTGTCTCTCCCCGTGTCTCTTCCCGTGTCTCTCCCCGTGTCTCCCCATGTCAACCTGTGTCTCTTCCCGCGTCTCTCCCCGTGTCTCTCCCCGTGTCTCGTCCCGTGTCGCTCCCCGTGTCTCTCCCTGTGTCTCTCCCCGTGTCAACCCGCGTCTCTTCCCGTGTCTCTCCCCGTGTCATACCGTGTCTCTCCCCGTGTCTCTCCCCGCTTCTCCCCGTATCTCTCCCTGTTTTTCGTCCCGTGTCTCTCCCCGTGTCTCTCCCCGTGTCTCTCCCCGTGTCTCATCCCGTGTCTCTTTCCGTGTCTCTTCCCACGTTTCTCCCTGTGTCTCTTCCCGCGTCTCTCCCCATGTCTCTCCCTGTGTCTCGTCCCGTGTCTCTCCCCGTGTCTCTCCCTGTGTCTCTCCGCGTGTCTCTCCCCGTGTCTCGTCCCGTGTCTCTCCACGTGTCTCTCCCCGTGTCTCTCCCCGTGTATCGTCTCGTGTCTCTCCCCGTGTCTCGTCCCGTGTCTCTCCCCGTGTCTCATCCCGTGTCTCTTTCCGTGTCTCTTCCCGCGTTTCTCCCTGTGTCTCTTCCCGTGTCTCTCCCCGTGTCTCATCCCGTGTCTCTTTCCGCGTCTCTTCCCGCGTTTCTCCCTGTGTCTCTTCCCGTGTCTCTCCCCGTGTCTCTCCCCGCGTCTCTCCCCGCTTCTCCCCGTATCTCTCCCTGTTTCTCGTTCCGCGTCTCTCCCCGCGTCTCTTCCCGTGTCTCTCCCCGTGTCTCATCCCGTGTCTCTCCCCGCGTCTCTCCCCGTGTCTCGTCCCGTGTATCTCCCCGTGTCTCTCCCCGTGTCTCTTCCCGCATCTCTCCCCGCGTCTCGTCCCGTGTCTCTCCCCGTGTCTCTCCCCGTGTCTCCCATCAACGTGGGACCGCAGGCTCGGAGCGCGGAGCCGAGAAGGCTCGCACCGCGCTGCTGGCGGCCGCTCCCGTCATCACGGACATCGTCTCGTGTCTCGGCTTCAGCTGGTGGCAGGGGGGGCCCCTCCTCGACCAGGACCTGGCTGAGCTGCAGCGGGTGGGTGAGGGGAACCACAGGGGACCCACGGGGCACCCACGGCGACTCACAAAGCCCTGGGGTCATAATGAGACGACCTCCGCCATTCTGTCCATGTTCATTACGATACCAGTTTTGTGACAGGTCTTTTCGGCATGATGGAACCTTTGCGACATTTTAAGCTCATGACCGTTAGACATTTTAACAGCGCATTTGTCACTCCAATGCTCCGTGTTGGTAATTGGGGGTTTGTTTGATTATACTTCACTCTGCTAGGTGGTCAGGATTGGCAAAGGCAAAGAGGCCTAGGAACGGTTCGGACCGGGATTCACGGTTCGAATCGAGCGGCTGCCCGGATTAATACTAGGGTGCGTATTAATCCATAATGACACTACCGCGCCGTCCGCTTCACTTTGGACGTCAGAGATCCCTTGATGTTATTCGCTAGAGTAGGCCATTGTGTACCGGCATCAGGGCCCAAATTCACCAAATAAAAAATCACCGAAAAATTACTCAATTTGGGATTATACGTAGCAGTAAGCATTGCCCCCGACTGGCTCCCACCCACCCAGTGACTCATTCAGCCACTCACCACTGCATATGATATTTCTCCTGGTATCTTGAGTTCTCGACCGGTTTAAAAAAAATCAACTTGAACTCAACCACAACTGCGATAAAGTGTGGAATAATAATTTGAGGAAGACAACATTGTGTGCAACCAGACAACTGCACTCGTTATGAGCACAAGAAACCAACTTGTGAAAACCTAGCAGGCATACCCGGAGGTGGTACGTGTTGGCATACCACAGGTACTTTGCTGTGAGTGGGGTTGTCAAGGTTGATTTCCGTGTGAAACTATACAGTTAAAATACACCAATAAATACATCACGATGAACACGTAGGCTTTCGCGACCATTATCATCCATAATAGAGGAATTTTTTTTGATTGGGTTAAATTGCCTAAATATAAAGATGTCGTTAAAACCCGCCACCACCCATAATGCGCATGCATAATGTACGTTGACCCCCCCCACCCCACTTTGCGCAAGAGCGCAGAAGCGTGGTCACCACATCTACACCTCTATATAAGGAACGAAACAGGTGGACTTCTCCACAAATCTGGCTGTCGCCTGATGAAGCTAGTTGTAATTACTGGCGAAACGTCGTACTCAGATTGTAAATGTTGTGGCTTTGCTCTCCACCACACCGGTGTGCTGTACTAGTGACGAATTGACATGTTCTGTTTACGTGACAACCCTTACTAGTTGGCTGTGTCGGGTGGTGGCGGGTTTTAACGACACATTTATATATTTACGCGATCTACCCCAAAAAAAACCCCTCTATTATGGACATCATGATGACTTAAAACATTGCGTTAATAAGAATCAATTGGGTAATACTAAAGTCGTGCAAAACTCAAATGTATTCGAGTCGAAATACAAAGCAATGCCACACCTTAATAACTGTAACTAGTGAAATGCACCTGCTACTTAACGGGTAGAATCAATAATCTAGAGATAACCGTAATCTTTATGACCGTGGCTGCATATCACGCCACGTGTGGTGACGGAATGTGACCTTCACATGCACGTGCACGCACACTCACGCTACACACACTCATGCTACACACACTCTACACACAAGCAGGTTACAACAACCGCCATTCGCCACTAAGTGGCGGTGACGTCACCACGACGCTTGTGCCAGGCTATATGCACGTTGAGGCCACGTGAAGTGTCGAACACCCGCTGGCAGGAGGTCACGGGGCAGACCCAGGTGCCACAGATCGACTTGCTGTGCTTTAGCCACCCGGCGCTCCGCTCGTTGTTGTGAGCGTCACTCCTCCCCCCTCCGTTGTTGTTGGAGGGCGACTGCCTCCAACTGCCCAGTAGCGTACTTCACGAGCCTCCTCCACAGAAGTCGATCTTGACACCGCTGGTACCAGTCATCGGTAAGTCTACTCAGCTCCACATCCTCCTGTACCACATCACTCCATCTCTTCTCTAGCCCGTGCTGCGCCCGTTTAGCCCCCTCGATCCGGCCGAACAAAAGCTGTTTAGGCATGCGGTGGCTGGGCATGTGGGCTACATTACCCAGCCAACGCAGCCTTGCCTGCCGGAGTAGCTCACCGATGGGACTTTGTCCAGATCTTTCAAGGATTTGTGAGCTCCTCACACAATCCAGCCTCGTTAAACCCAGGATGGATCATAGGTAGGCCAGCCTAAATGTTTCTAACCGGCGAAGATTTTCCAGGCCACGTGAAGTGTCGAAGGCTCGCTGACAGGTCTCGGGACAGACCCAGGTGCCACGGATTGGCTGACTGAGATGACCAGTAGATGCACCAGCTTTATCCCCCACTGTGCCACCTTGCTGTTGTGAGCATCGCTCCTCCCCCTCCGTTATTGTTGGAGCGCGACTGCCTCCAACTGCCCAGTAGCGTACTTCACGAGCCTCCTCCACAGAAGTCGATCTTGACACCGCTGGTACCAGTGATCGGCAAGTCCACTCAGCTCCACATCCTCCTGTACCACATCACTCCATCTCTTCTCTAGCCCGTGCTCTGCCCGTTTAGCCCCCTCGATCCGGCCGAACAAAGGCTGTTTAGGCATGCGGTGACTGGACATGTGGGCTACATTACCCAGCCAACGCAGCCTTGCCTGCCGGAGTAGCTCACCGATGGGACTTTGTTCAGATCTTTCAAGGATTTGTGAGCTCACACAATCCAGCCTCGTTAAACCCAGGATGGATCGTAGGTAGACCAGCCTAAATGTTTCTAACCGGCGAAGATTTTCCATTAGGGGGTCCACGTTTCGCAAGCGTAGAAAAGGGAGGGAATGACTGTGGCCGAGAAGACCTGAAGCTTCATGCGTAGCGACAGACCAGGTTGCTTACACACAGTGCTACACAACCAATGAAAAGATAATTCCACTCGACTGATTTGGAGTGAGACCTCTGCTGTCAAACCGGAGCCAGTCATGAGCACACTGCCCAGGTATGGAAAACTCTTCACTCTCTCCACAACTGCCCTATCACCAATTGGGAGTTGTGGGGGTGGAGTGTCCGATGGTAAGAAATACCCAGGCAGGTAAGGCCCCACCTCTTAGTAGCAAGCTCCAGGTTCAGCAGCAGCACCTTCAACTCCTCCCCTGAGTGAGCAGCAATGACCAGATCTTCGGCATACGTAACGTGGTTGAGCAATAGGGAGCCATCCCTGCGCATCGATCAGCCTCCCATTGTATCTGTACTAGATGGAAATTCCTCCGGTGCAGCTATTGAAGGCTTCACGAACTACGTGGTCGAAATAGATGTTAAATAATGTGGGAGCCAGAGGACATCCCTGTCACATCCCAAGGTGAACAGGGAATGGCTCCGACTCCCGGCCACGTCGTTTTACCCGGGCCCGCTCACCATCATGAAGGTCCTTAATGATCGTGAGCAGAGGTTTCAGGGACTCCAAAAGCATGAAGAACAACCCAGAGCCCAGGCCTACTGATGGTATCATAAGCCTTGACCAGGTCAATAAAGCAGAGATGTAAGTCTTGTTGAAATTCCCTACACCTCTGCTGTAACAAACGAACAGAAAATATGGCATCTGTGCAGGACCGCCCTTTCCTGAAACCGCATTGGGGCTCCGTAAGCCTCTCCTCAGCGTGCCTGGCAAGGCGATGTTGAATATTCCTTGTCAGGACCTTTCCCGGCACACTGAGGAGTGAGATGCCTCTGTAGTTGTTACAGTTTGTGCTGTCCCCCTTCTTAAAGAGGGGGACCACCAGGACATCCTTCTAATCCTGCGGAACCCGTCCAGTGGTCTAGACTGTTGTTATGATGTCATGTAGGGCAGTCTATGCACAAACGCTACCCTCCCGCAGCATTTCGCTTGGGAGATCATCTCTGCCCGGTGCCTTTCTCAGACTCCGGATCGCCTTCAGTACTTCCTCAACAGATGGTACCTCTGCCAGCAACTCAGTGGGGGTGACTTCTTCTTCCAATAAATGAGGCACTGCAGCCTCAGCAGGGTCATACCCACTTTGTCCCAGGATGTTTTTCAGGCTGAGGGATTTCCCCTCCCCCATGACCTCACAGAAATACTCAGAAAATCTGCAAACCTGTTCCTGGGGGTCGGAGATTGGATCACCATTCTTTCCCCTAATGATGGTAATAGGTGTGGTGCTGCAGGTTACTTTTTTGATGGAGTTAAAGAGCGATTTGTGATCGTGGGCCATTGAGGCAGACTCCATCTCCTCAGCAACCCGCGACCACCACCCATCCTTGCAGCGCCTCACGGCTCTCTAACCTCCGAGCGAAGGCTGTGGTAAGCCTCCTCCTTCTCTGACGTGGGATGCTGTAGATGGTGAGAGTGGGCCTGTCGCTTTTTCTCAGCCAGCCTGAACACCTCCTCTGTCAGTCAGGGTCTCTGGGGACGTCTGGACCATGTACCCAAAGCAGCCATTGCAGCTGCATGAGCCGCAGTCCTAAACCTTGCCCATTTCCCCTCGACATCAGGGGGACTGGGGCACGATGCCAACCCCAGCCGCAAGCCATGATGAAATTCTCATGTGCAACTTTCATCAGCTAGCTGAGACCATGCCACTTTGGGTTTGAATGGGGTCCTGGGTGTACACCCACCACCGGAGTGGAAGAATGGCAGGCGCATCTTACAGATGACAAGTCGATGGTCAGTGTGCAGATAATCTCCACGGTAGGTCCTGGTGTCAAGGACATGGGCTGGCATCCGCTGTTCTGTCACTATATAGTCCAACAGATGTTCTTCCTTGGACCCGGCATGCATCCATGATGTTGTGTGGATGCGCCGATGCCGGAACGTAGAGTTGGTAATTACAATCCCATGGGCTGCACAAAAATCTAGCAGCCTCCTGCTGTTGTTATTGAGCTGATCTGGCCCATGCCTTCCAATCACTCCAGACCAGGTGTCAGCATCATGACCAACTCGGGCATTGAAGTCACCCAACAAGATGACTCTATCCCAAGAGGCCACTTAAGCTAGCACCTAAGACAGGTAATAGAAGGCATCTGACTCATCAGCCTTGCCTGCACCCCTCCACGGATGTTCGTCTTCGGTGGGGGCATAAGCAACCACGACCACAACTCCTCGCCTGAGGTTGATGGGAAGGCAAGCCCAAAGTAGCCTGCGGCTTACAGCTTCCCACACCTCTCCGCCACGCTCCCATGCCATTTTCATTATTTTGTTCAGGAGAAGAGCCACTCCCTGTTGTTTAGCAGTCTCCTGCCCCGAGTAGAGGACTGTCCACCCCTCATGGTGGCAGGAGCCAAAGTCGGTTCACCAGACCTCCTGAATACCACAGAGATCCAGGCGGTACCGGTCCAGATCCTGACAGAGGAGTGGCAGCCTCTCCTCCGCAGTGAGCATTCGAACATTCCACGTGGCTACCGTAGTGTTTTTTTTTGTTGTTTCTGGAAGAGCCCCAAGGGTAAGGATTCAGTCTCCTGGCTCTGCCAAATGGGGTTTGGCCTGGGGACGTCATAGACGCCTGCCCCCCCGGGGCCTCCGGCACAAACTTAATTACATTTTTAAATCATGGTTTGGTGGTAATGAATTAATTGAAGGTGCAGGGGTTACCAGCCCCTCGCACCCATCCAGAGCCCACATTTGGTCACTGTGATGGTTACAAACGCCACGAGGGGAATGGCCAACCTAAGTTTGCCCTCCCCCCACGGCACTGCCCACCACAGCGTTGCCGTCCGGCACCAACGAGGAGGTAGGGGGTTGTTTTTGCTGGACAATACACACGCTACACACACTCAACGCTACACACAATCTACACATGCATGCTACACACACGCTACACACACTACACACACTCTACACACACTCACGTTACACACACACAGGCACCCATCATACATACACATGCACGCACGCGAGCTCACAGATTTTTCCTGTCTGGGGTGAGGAAAACCCTGCACACGATACATCTGAGCAATGAACTCGACATGGGGACATTGCTTCGTACATTCATCTGGACATGGCAAAGAAGCTCGCATGCTTCGCAGACCTGGGTAAACTATGCTAGATAGGGGCATCTGTACCAGTCAGGTGCTCAGCGAGAGGTCAGATACATTTGACCTCCTTTACAAATCCGCAATGACCAGCGTGGTGAAGTCTGGTCAAACAACAACGACAACAATCCAGCATGGGGAGGCCTTCATCCATCATTGGTGATGATCATGACAATGATGACGATGGTCTGTTTCCGTCGTGTCATTTTTAGTACGTGCCAATTATGATGACTACCACTGCATTCTGCTGCTGCTGCTCTTATGGATGAATGATGATGATAACAGCCTCTGGAACCCCTCTCCTCTGGAACCCCTCTTCCTCCCAGGTTTTCCAAAACCTCCTCTTCAGCACCTTCACCGCGTGGAAAGTCTTCTTTCCCCTCGTCAGGGCAAACCCGAGTGGCTCCTACACCTTCGTGACAGGTATTCGCTCCGAGCCGTTCTGTCGTGCTGGGACCCTCTGTAAATAATAATTGCAGGCTACGTGCATAGCCACCACGTGCATAGCCACCACCGTGGATATCCACCACCGCCCAACTGAACGAGCCCACAAGGGGCTCAGTCACTCACAGGGGCTCAATAACGAGTACAGCGCGGAAGCCCACAGGGGTCCAGGCGGTGCCAGTAGCACAGTGAGTGGCACGGGCCCTGGTGCTAGAAATCAAATGAGCACCCCCCCACCACCCCCCTGTCCAATTTCCCCTTCGCTTCATAGTCCGGTACCAGGGCTCCTCCGGCCCATGGTCCTCGGTGCAGTTGCACCGCCTGCGCACTAGTCGATAACTGCGGGTAGCGGCTTCTACGCGCGTAATGAAACCGAATGGAGAAGCCCGGCACGTGATGCAAAACGTCGGACATCGTGCCAAACAATGCAGGATAAGAACTCAGAGTGTTTCTGGCTGCCTTAGACTGATTTTGTTCACATTTAGTTACATTTTGTGCAGTTTTCTCTATTGCCTCTATTTACCTATTCTGGTCATTTCCTTTCCACAAATTGTCACATTTCCTTGGACGGTGAACATTTAAAAGTACAATTCACCATCGTTATGTTCAGTTTGAATGAAAGTAACTTTTGAATATTACGCGCTTAAAAGGACGGCGTTTCACACGTCTCAAAGGGTTAATTTCATCTCCGGATTAAATTGAGGGGAGCGACCGGCTGACTGACATCGGAGAGCGGGATCAATCCTCGTGATGACACAAACGCAGATTTCAGTCACAACTTTTAAAGTGACAACTTCACACGCACCCCACATCTCTCTTGCAAAATGGAACACATTTTCGTCGGCAGTGGCACGCGAATACAAATAGCAAAACGCTCACCCACACTGGCTTTAAAATATAAAATTATACACAGGCATTATACCCCTTATAGCGCTGTCCTCTTATGACGCTGTTTCGTTATAACGCTCTTTGTCCTGGACGAGAATTCCTGTTGTGAAAAATTCCTGCACGGTTCAAAATTCCTGCGTGAAAATACACAGCGCGCGACACTGCCGCTTTCCCTCCTGACGTTATCGCGTGTCGCGTCCCCAAACAGCCAATGACCCAATCGCGTTTATAGTTACAGCAGCCTACTCATCACCTTTGCCGATTGTAAACATAAACGAAGTGGATTGCCTAGCGCTCCCGCGAGCAAGCCTGCCTCGCTTAGTTTCCGGCAGGCGGTGGGGGCTGCACGTGGGAACCCACCCTTGAAAGGAGCTCGACAAACTCCCACATGGGCCCAGATTTTGCTCCCACACAAAAGACAAAAATCCCCCGTGTAGCCTTGACAGACTGTTGGGGCAAGTGTTGTGACCAAGCACCTATGAAGGCCAGCGCGGCACACGAGGGGTTGCGTGGCCAGCACCACGCTCAGACCGCATTTGTCTCCCCAGTGGCGATGTTTACACACCGCACCAGGTACTCATTTGAGGATATGTCGACCCAGGGGAGGTCCATAACCGGTTTAGATAATCGTCACTGGTGTTGGCCTTGAGCGGGAATCGAACTCGGGTCGCCGAGTGCTAACCGTTGCACTCCCCACACACACAACTCGCATGTAGACACGTCTACGTGTCATTCAAAGTTATTATTTGTATTCATAAAATGCTTTAATACATTTATCATATAACGGTATCAAAATTAAGGCAATGACTGGTATCTCAATGAAGCCCTTATATATCGCTCGTAGGGGGAAAATTGCACTGTCAGTAACGCATGTCCATTGCAACCATGTTATAATGACCTCCTAAATGCTGTTTCGTATAGCCCTCCTTTTACCAAGAAGGCATCCTGACCGCTATAAGGAGGGGGGGGGTATTCCTGTAATAGGTCACGTTTCAGCCCAATGTCCTTTTCCATGGCACGTTTGCTATACGTGTTGAGGTTTAGGTAAATCCTCGATGTGGCTGATGTTGTATATGCTGGGTCTTGAAAAATGTAATACAAACAAAAAATGTAACTGCAAAATGTGTAAGTATCAGAATTTAAGCTAGTTTATGTAATCATGTACATAATATGCTAATTAGGAAGGTGTAATTGCATTACGTTATGCAATTGTATGCGATTATGCTGATGAATGTCGTTATTCTAAATAGACTAGGGTTGTATTATCAATCGGAATGATACAATAAATTGTATGAAGTTTAGTTTAAATTGTATGAAGTTATACAAGTGTGATGTAAGTATGCTAAATTAAGCTCGGCTTCGTTGTCTAGGGTTGTATTATCAATCGGGATAATACAATTATTCTTGCTTTAACATTTACTGATTATGTCTTAGTGTTTTTACGTTAGGTCTCCAAATTCAAATCTCACTGCAGGATACAGTTCTTATAATTAAGATTATTACGCATGAACTTAGGAAGGCACCACTCAGACACTTCTGTGTTAAGCAATTTTAATTTTTAACCAAAAACATAACACTCTAATATGCGAACTCTTATGCTTGGAATTGTCAACACAGTGCTCCTGGAGATGTTCTCCTCATTGATCTATACATTTAACCCTGAATGATTACGTTGTTAAACTGGGTAACAGAACAATCGATTCATTCCTCAGAGTAACGCGAGCATATACGGCGATAGGAAAAAGTCCTTAAAATGAATGTAACAATATTTATACAAACAGTAATGAAGGAACATGTCCCGAAGCAAGAGTAGATATCAATTAATTCATTGGCAAGATTATGCAATTAACGAAAACGAATGAGTAAAATACTTCTATTCTTAGCTCTTTCAGTAAAGTCACGTTGAAGGGAAACAATAAAATAATAAAATATATATAAAACAATAAAAATTCTCACGACGTTTCGACCATAACACAAACGGTCGTCATGAAACCGACACACCTGATGACGACCGTTTGTGTTATGGTCGAAACGTCGTGAGAATTTTTATTGTTTTATGTATATATTATTATTTTGTTGTTTCCCTTCAACGTGACTTTACCGAAAGAACTAAGAATACAAGTGGCCTTCTTCAGGTGAAAGGAACAAACCTGTCGGGACGACACTTGTTCAATTCTTTGCGTAAAGCAAAGAATTGAGTGTGTGAGTGTGGGGGAGGGTCATACCCCTCTGCTCACGATCATTAACGACCTACGTGGCCGGAAGTCAGAGCCATTCCCTGTACACCTTGGGGTGCGACAGGGATGTCCTCTGGCTCCCACACTATTTAACATCTATTTTGACCACGTAGTTCGTGAAGCCTTCAATAGCTGTACCGGGGGAATCTCCATTTGGTACAGATATAATGGGAGGCTGATCGATGCCCGGGTGCGGTCAAGGGATGGCTCCCTATTGCTCAACCACGTTATGTATGCCGATGATTTGGTAATAGCTGCTCATTCAGAGGAGGAGTTGGAGACGCTGCTGCTGAGACTGGAGCGTGCCACTAAGAGATGGGGCCTTACCATTAACCCCATCAACACTAAGCACCTGCCTGGGTATTTCGTACCATCGGACACACCACCCCCACAACTCCCAATCGGTGATGGGGCAGTTGTGGAGAGAGTGGAGAGTTTCCCATACCTGGGCAGTGTGCTTATGACCAGCTCCAGTTTAAAAGCAGAGGTGTCACTCCGAATCAGTCGAGCGGCAATATCTTTTCATCGGTTGCGTAACGCTGTGTGGAAGCTACCTGGTCTGTCGCTCCGCACTAAGCTTCAGGTCTTCTCGGCCACAGTCATTCCCTCCCTTCTCTACGCTTGCGAAACGTGGATCCCCCCAAATGGAACATCTTCGCCGGTTAGAAACATTTAGGCTGGCCTGCCTACGATCCAACCAGGCTGGATTGTGTGAGGAGCTCACAAATCTTTGAAAGATCTGGGCAAGGTCCCATCGGTGAGCTCCTCCGGCAGGCAAGGCTGCGTTGGCTGGGTCATGTAACCCGCATGCCCAGCCACCGCATGCCAAAACAGCTTTTGTTCGGCCGGATCGAGGGGGCTAAACGGGCGCGGCACGGGCTAGAGAAGAGATGGAGTGATGTGGTACAGGAGGACGTGGAGCTGAGTGGACTTGCCGATGACTGGTGCCAGCGGTGTCAAGATCGGCCTCTGTGGAGGAGACTCGTGAAGGACGCTACTGGCCAGTTGGAGGCAGTCACCCTCCAACAACAACGGAGGGCGGAGGAGCAACGCTCACAACAACGAGCGGAGTGCCGGGTGGCTAAAGCATAGCAGGTTGGCACAGTAGGGGGCATAGGTGGTGCATCAGCCAGTCATCTCAGTCAGTCGACCCGTGGCACCTGGGTCTGCCCCGTGACCTCCTGCCAGCGGGCGTTCGACACTTCACGTGGCCTCAAGGTGCACATGGCCTGGCACAAGCGTCGTGGTGACATCACCGCCACTTAGTGGCGAATGGCGGTTGTTGTTGAGGGTCATACACACAGCTCCCTCGCTCTCTCTCGCTCGGTGGTGCGCGATGATTCCGTCGTCAGATAGCGCCCGCAGCTCGTCCGCTGGTCGCCGTTCCTCACTCTTGTCTTGGTTCCCAGCTGGTGCTGGTCGGTGTGAGTGTGGGTCAAACCCACGACGCTCTCGCCGGCGCACTCTTCCTCACGGGCGGCTGGTCAGGCTCTTTCCCCTGCTGGATGAGCCGAGTCGGCACAACGCTTGTCCGCTGGCAACTGACACCCTTGCTCGGTGACGCTGGTGGCGCTGCTGCGCGCTCTCTCCGGCTCCGTGCTCTCTGGCGATGCCCGATTGCACATGCAGCTGGTTCTCTGCGATGCTGGCTGGGTCGATGCTTGGCGCTTTCCACCCTTTCTCCCGATTGATTGCTTGTCGTTGCTTGCCACTCTATCTCTCTCCTTGATCGTGCTAATGCCGGGTGGGAGCTGGCACTCTGTATAGAATAACTTGAGCGATACTTCTTCTGTCAGCGCCGAACTCGTGTTCGGTGACATTGCTACTCGGCAAGCCTCGCCATCCTTGGTTTATTGCAGAGTCCCACCCCGGAGCTTGCCGCTTGCAGAACTCAACTATTCGCGTTGACTTCGTAGACTCGTGGCTTCTGCTGGTACAGCTCGTTGACGATGTGCCAGTCACGGGGGCAGGTTCCCGGAGCCTGCCAATCGCAGCTGCTCGTGGGAGCTGTATTAGCACACCTCTTACACAACTCTGATAGCTTAGTACAATACAACTTATCGCAATCCTTGACTCTGCAAGCGACTCAAAACATCAGGATAAATGTAGAATAAAACTTTCAGCGATACTCTGTCGGTCCATGCCGAACTCAGCACCGAGCATCACCTCGCCCCTCTTCTCTGCGAGACACGACACCCATTGCTAATGTTGAGGCCATGCTCCGGAGCCTGCCCGTCGCAGTACTATCCGTCGCTTGTTGTAGCACTTCACTTGCATGATCTGTGCCGTTGGTTATATCTGAAATTCTCTCCCCTCTCTCCGCGTCTCTTGCGAGAGAGAAAAAAAAAACAGATGCAGAAAACAGATTATTACTGGCAAAGACTAATTAGAGAATCCATTGAAATTGAGAGGAATAGAAATAACTTTAATTGCTCTGACAGCTCCAGGCTTAGTGCGGCTTGGAAGCGTATTATTAAATAATACATATTACAATTCCTTATTGTGGAAACACATACTAATTAACGGATTACTAACGTAGCATATAATCACAATAACAAACATTACAACTAATTACTAATCTAGAACTCATTACTAATCATAAACATTAACTGATTACCAATCGATTATATAATTACAATACCCCCCCCTCCGCCTCAAATCACTGCACCTGAAATGAGTTAAATGATGACGTCACCCTGCTGCTCTATTTAAGACCGGGAGGAAGCGAGGGCTTTACCATTTTGGCGAATTGCCCGATGATGCTGGATGTAATTACCAGCGAAACGTCGTACTCAAACTGTAAATGTTGTGGATTCACTCTTCAACACACCGGTGGGCTAAAGTAGTGAACTATTTGTCTTTTGTCAACGTGACACTTTTTTGCTGATCGGCCGTGTCGGGTGGTGGAGGGTTACGACACATTTATAAATAACGCGATCTAACCCAAAAACCTTTATTATGAGATGCCCTCTGTCACCGTCCTCCTCCCTTGGCAGCCGCCTGGTTGCCCCCCCCTTTTTGACCTTTTACTGACTGTTTTACCATCACATTTTATGTTTGTTTGCATTCCCCCCCCCCCCTCTTTTCGTGGTTTCTGCTCAAAGGGAGGGGAGGCACTCTCCCTTCATACGTATTTGTGTTTTGTCAAATTCTTGGAAGACAAAGGCGGCCGGGGAGGCTCTGATTCCATGCAATACATATTATCTGGTCTTGTGTGTTTGACCTATTTTCTTGTATCTCTTGTGATTATTATTTGGTCTATGTTTAACCAAGATTTGTAATGTCATTAGATGTTACCTCCGGTATTTCAAGGGTTTTATTAACTTTTGCTCCCTGTCTGTATCCAGGGATCCGTGCTTTTTATTCTCGAGGTCAGAGATATAGCTTATTTTGGACTTAAGCTTTCGTGATTGCAGGAACTCATGTACTTTGGTTCTCTTGGTAAAGTCACGTAGATAGAAAGATACAAAAAGAAATAAAATAAGGAATACTGCAGTCTATAATGTCGACTTAATCTTATAGCCAAGCTTCAAACTTTTCCCGTATATAAAAAAATAATCAGTTATAATGTCCGTTTCCCCTGTGCTCTGTGTCCGTGCCAGTGATTCTGGATATTTGCTTGTGAACTATCCAAAACGTCCGGGGAGGTCATGGCATGTGGTCCTTTGACAATCTGGAGATTTTGCAGATCGTCGTTAACCTCCCTTTGCCCCGGAGTTTATTATTCCAATGGCTCTTTATGGCCTCCTCACTCGAGTTGCTTTTAATGCGGTAAGGCCGCTGGGTGTGAGGGGTGGGGTGTTCCTCACCCTTTCATGCCCCATGCTCGCCCCAGAATCATTCTTAATATTAATTTTTGTAAAAAGGCCTATATATACAAGATTGACCATACGAGGCCCCACCTCCTCTGCCGCAGGCGGCGCGGGAGACCGCCTCCTCACGGCCGGCACCGGCTTCCTGACGGTGGGGGCCGCTTCGGCGCTCGCGTTCAGCAAGGTGGTGCGCGAGGAGTACAGCGACGCGGCCTGCGCCATCAACGAGGTGACACGCGCGTGCACGCACGCACGTCCCCGGGGCGTACACAAGAGTCGGGAGACGTTACACACGCATGTGCATATTCCCATAGTGCTGACCCAAGAGTAACACGCACATATGCCCATGCACACTCAGCTATCAAAACTAGGAGAGACAGACAGAACCATGCGCTCACGACTTACACACTCGCGCCTGTGCACACTTGCCTGCCTGGAAACATTCCCAACAGCTCGCTGTTGGGAATGTTTCCAGATCTTTCAACGATTTGTGAGCTCGTCACAAAATCCAGCCTGGTTAAATCCAGGATGGATCGTAGGCATGTTAGCCTGAATATTTCTAACCGGCGCAGATGTTCCATTAGAGGGATCCACGGTTCACATGTATAGAGAAGGGAGGGCATGACTGTGGCCAAGAAGACTCGAAGCTTTGTGCGGAGTGATAGACCAGGTAGCTTCCACACAGCATTGCACAGCCAATGAAAAGATGTTGCTCAACTAATTCGGAGTGAGTCCGCTGCTGTCAAACTGGAGCTGGTCATATACACACTGCCCAGGTATGGTAAACTCTCTACTCTCTCCACAACTGCTCCATCACCAATGCGGAGCTGAGGGGGTGGAATGTTTGGTGGCACAAAATACCCAGGCAGGTGCTTAATTTTGGTGGAGCTGATGGTAAAACCTCACCTCTTAGTGGCACACTCCAGGTTCAGCAGCAGCGCTTTCAACTCCCCCCTGAAACACACGCGTACATCTTCTTGGTTCTTTCGGTAAAGTCACGTAGAATGGAAATAAAATAATAAAAATGAAACATAATGAAATAAGATTCTCTCACGACGTTTCGGCCACAACACAAGTAGCCTTCTTCAGGTGAATAAGCAGGACTGTCCAGAAGACAGCGCTTGAGTGAACATTGCCAAGCATGGACCGCGTCCTTTAAGCTGTGTGGGCGGAATTAACATGAATTAGCATGTTACCCAGCACCACCACCGGATCGGAGGAGGGTGGTGGCTGGGCACACAGAAAAAGAAAGAAAAAAGAACAGCCAAGGTGCGCTACTCTTTCCTGTGTTGCATTATAACTATGCTATAAACTGGACTACTATACAATATAATATTATACCTTCCAATCTAAACTACATGGTATAATATCATATCCATAGACAAAATTCCAGACATACAGTACCCAGGCGTTTACAAACTAAGTTGCGTCTGTGGTAGGAGCTACATTGGAGAACCCAAACGATATATCTCGGACCGCATCCGTGAACATAAAGCAGACTTGAAACACGGTAGGACGAACTCCTCAGCCGTGGCAGATCACTGTTATAATTCAGTGGGCTCACATGACATTGACTTCTCCAAGACGGAGGTTCTCTGCAAGCCATCCGGCTACCATGAGAGATTCGTTCATGAGGCTATCCACATATACAAACACAGAGACAATTTCAACCGAGAAGATGGATTCTGGCTTAGTAACCATTGGAAACATGTTATACACCATTTCGGTTCTTAATTGATTGTAGTTTACGGTGACCTTCAGACCACAGTCCATTCACTGGCACTGCCTCTTAATACCTTTCGCACGACGGTCAATGGTATGGTTTATAGCATGTGGTATAATAATAAATAGAATAACATTGTAATGTTTAACATAATTCATAAGGCATAGTGAATATACATCAGTGTGGTATATAGGAGGGTTGATAGAATAAGACATAGTGTAATGTTACAAGTCTAATATTTTATAGTCTAAAGTATAGAGTAGTGTATAGTATTGTACAATTCAAAGGTGGAATTGTGTCTATGGATATGATTTCATACCATGTAGTTTAGATTGTAAGGTATAATATTATATTGTATAGTAGTCCAGTTTATAGCATAGTTATAACGCAACACAGGACAGAGCAGCGCACCTTGGCTGTTCTTTTTCTTTCTTTTTCTGTGTCTCCAGCCGCCACCCTCCTCCGATCCGGTGGTGGTGCTGGGTAACATGCTAATTCACATGTTCATTCCGCCCACACAGCTTAAAAGACGCGGTCCATGCTTGGCAATGTTCACTCAAGCACTGTCTTCTGGACAGTCCTGTTTATTCACCTGAAGAAGGCTACTTGTGTTGTGGCCAAAACGTCGTGAGAATCTTATTTTATTATGTTTTATTTTTATTATTTCATTTCCATTCTACGTGACTTTACTGAAAGAACCAAGAAGATGAATCCCTGCAGTCACGAAAGCTTCAAATCGAAATACACACGTACATATTTATTTGGTGTACCCAAGAATCTGAGGGAAAGGATCCGCATGGACATTTACTGTACATGGTGCATCTAAGACCCGGAGGGACAGACAGGCACATACACAGCCATAAAGTGCACTCACAAATAAAAAATAAAAACGCGCAATTGGTCAGGTGCACCACATCTGTCCGGCGTCGCAGCGGCTGTCCTCTCACCCGTGTGGCCGCGGTGCTGCCCGCAGGTGAAGATCAACATGGGTGTAGTGCCACCGGACCGCGTGTGCCCGGGCTATGTGGACCACCGCGCCATGGGCCACGCGCTCGCCGCCGTGGTGGCCACGCACGGGGGCACCGGCCGCTTCGTGTGCATCAGTTCCACCGAAGACGTAGAGGCCGTGCAGGCCACTGGCGGCGCCACCGCTACTGCCGGCTCCACATGAGCCAAGGCCGGCTGCTCGTCCTCATAGGCCCCCGACGAGCCCTCCCTATAACTTCCATCCGTTCCTCCAGCCCTAGCAAGCCAAACCAACAGAGCCACTTAATTATAGATTAAAGATATAATCGTGTCTTTATTTACCCAGGAAAGCATCGGTCTCAAAACAAGTAGGAACAGTTCTTGAGATATGTAGCTTGGTGTGGGAGGAGTCTGGAGTACCTGGAGAAAACCCACCACGCATATGAGGGCAAATATACTTTTCACTCCGCATAAATTTAATCCCTTGCTGTATTGCCATCTCCCGGCCACGTTGCAACCCCACATCTACAAGCCATGATATTCCCAGGCAGTCCTTACCTTGTGTTCTGACAAGGCTCAACCCCTGCTTAGCTTCTGAGATCCGCAGATATTGGGCGCATTCAGTCACGAAGGTTCCAGTCTTCGCAACATCCATCTTGTCATAATTCCCGTGCGGGTTTTCATATCTAGTGGAAATGTGTGCGTGTATTCACCTCATACACTCACCCCAATTATGCAATTTCCTGTTTTGAGTTTGGAGACATGGTCACAGCAGTTTTGAACTAGATACTTCATGAGAAAACCTTCGTTCATAAATGTGTGTGTACAAATGGCACACACGTGTACGCCCAGACACAGAGTACTGGTTCAAGTTACGTGTACATGTCCCATTGTGATGTAGGGCATGCGCACTCAAACTGTGTGTCCCACATGGTGTTGGCCACACACTCCATCGTGTGCCATGCCGTCCTTTATAGGTGCTCGCTAACAGCACTTGCCTCAACAGTCTGCTGAAGACTATATATGGGGGATGTTTTTCTTTGTGTTTCCCACATGACCCCACATGGCAGAGAGCACAGCAGTAAATTAAATTAACATAGGACGGCCGCTGATGAGCTCGAACCAATGAGTGGAGAAGGATGTAGCTTCTGCTTCAAAGCCGTGACAAGTGGAGGTATTGGGCTGTCTCGGCGTGTCAGTTGTGTCAGTGACACAGGACGGACTAAAGGATCTCAAGCCGTATCACAATCATTAGGAAGCGTGCAAGGTGTATAGATTACAAAATTGTGTTTGAGCGGAGAAGACTGCTAAAATACCCAAAATTTACGTAGCGATACACGCGTTATGGTTGGGTGGAAGTGAGAGGGCTTTGCAGCTTTTGGAAATCGTGGAGTGAAACCGCGGGTGTGTGGGGAAGATGAGACGCGAGGCACGTGCGTTCGGTCCCGTGGCAATGGGGGCAAGGAGCGCCCAGCCCCGCCCCCTCCAGCTCCCACCACCTGATTGGCTCACAGCGATGACGTCACAAACGCTCTATGATTAAGACCGGAAGCGGGTCGATCTCTTCACAATTTTGGCAAAAATCGTCCGATGAAGCCTGGATGTGTGGCACATTGGGAATGGACCACTCTTTTAATGATTTCCTTGTGCAGCAAGGGAGTAAAGTGTGGTTTTGTGAAAGTCCTTATGTGCTGTGCAGTACATCAATGCACGTGTGCGAACACTAGCATGCGATAACGGAGTTGGGCCTGTAGGGGGATGGCAGGGTTATTGATTAACCGCACTTGGACAACCAGCCACACGGTTAATGGCGACTCGGTTGAGGATTGCTGTGTGACACACGTGCTGTTGCATCTTACAGGTAAAGGACCCAAAGGTTGTTTTTGATCGTTATAGAAATGTTCTAGACTTGTTCTAGACTTCAAGCTTGGATTTGAATTGTTAGTTTGTGATATATTCAATTGGATGGGTTTTAGCACTGTGCATTGTAAAGGATGACGTACTGCAGTTAATACTTGTAATTCTTAATTCTCTAACCCTAATACTGTTTATTCTATAACCATGCCCATGCACCCAGTGTATGACTACTTGCAATGCTATTGATAATATTACACATGTAGTAAGTTGTACAATGGTGACAAATACAGTACGTATACGGTACACATACAGTACAGATAATGGGTGTAAGTTACCGATATAAGTGGATGGTATAGATAGACGTACAGCTTAGGATTAACCGCACTTGGACACCAGCCACATGGTTAATGGCGACTCGGTTGCAGATTGCTGTGTGTGACACACGTGCTGTTGCATTTTACAGATTAACCACAATAAATGTGTTTGCCCTCGATTTGGAGCACCTGCCCACGACCTTCATTTCGAGTGTGCAACAGATCACCAGTGCAACGTCACAGTACTCAAAATATTGGCAAGGTTGTGCTAAACTAGTGACTAACTGGCACGTTTTGTTTACGTCATCAAACCTTACTAATTGGCTGTGTCGGGTGGTGGTGGGTTAAGGACACATTTATATTTATGCAATCTAACCCCCCAAAACCCCCTTTATTATGAATAGCGATCGCAAAAGGCCGACTACGTGTTAAATCCCACCATCCTGTCTGCCTCTCACACCGACCGCTAGGCCTCGGGCAAGGTAAGGTAATTTACCCTTTTTACCGGGTAAAAGGGTAAAGGTGTCGATATGCCAAGGGGTAAGGTAAAGGGTAGGGTAAAGGTAGCTCGGAATAATTACCCGGTAGGGTAAACGTAGCGCGAAGTATTACCCGGTAAATACGGTATCTTGTTTACCGCTAAAAGCTCCGTGGCGCAGTCCGTGGCCTCCATTTAATAAGTAATATTTAAAAAATACTTTTTTTAAAACACGCGTTTACCAAATGTACCGTACGAGTAATGACAGAACTCCACGACTCCAGGAAGTGGCCCCGAAGCTTGCCACAACGTAAGGAACCGTGGGCAATTACAGCTAACGTCAGTTGACAGTGGACAATTAGACCCAAGCCGAAACACAACATAAAAAACAATGTTTAAAAATATTTTATTTTTAATGATAGAATATAGTATTGTCATCAGTATGACATAAGTATACCAAGTTTGCAGTCGATACCACATTGGGAAGTGGGTTAAAATTGAGTTACAATATTTGAGGATACAATAACGACAACAGAGTGAGTTAAAATAAAACGTGTAAAATTGGAATCATCGAGAGTATTCGATATGAATAAAGCGCTCTACCTAGCATTTACCTGTTATAAACCTTTTTCATGTGTCGTACCGCAGTAATTACCCTGTAATCGGGTAATTTGTATGGGGTAAGGGTAAAAGTAGGCTCATTGGTTTTAACCTTTTACCTTACCTGCTGAAGGGTAAAAGGTAGGGTAGAGTGATTGTATTGTGGTAAGGTAAAAGGTAGGGTAAAGGTAGGTTCGTTGTTTTTACCTTTTACCTTACCTTGACGAGGCCTACCGACCGCGCATGGGGCAAAGGCTCCCGATGTCCATGTGACTCGTCGTGGAAAATGTTGGAAGTCTGGACCACTAAGTTGATGTCCCTAATTGCAACCGTATAACTTTGGCAACTATGGAAACTATGGCGATCAAGTAACCGTGGTAACTGTGTAAGCATTGCAGCTGTTAATGCAACCGCTGTGTAAAAATGCAGCTACCGCATTAGTGGCACGAGCGAGGTAACCACGGCAAGTGTGACGAGTGTCTTCGTACAACCGGTGTGTGCCCGCAGGTACCGCACATGAACCACGTAACCATGGCAACAGTGCAAACAGTTCTGATGGGTTTAAAGGTCGTACGGCAAGTTGATTGGACATGAAGCTCCCCAGCACGTGGAGTGAAAGATCGGACATCCTGCTGATCAACACCGAGATACTGTTGGGGCTGCTGCCCCTCGACTCCCCATTCTCCTGTGCCCCCCCCCCCCGCTCTCCTCTGCTCCCCCCTTCGCTACTGCTCCTCGTAGAAGCATGATTTAAATAGCTGCTCTAACCACCTCGCAAATACGCCGCGGTGCCCTTCTCGTACACGCCAACCACGAGCTGCGCAACGGCGAGAGTGCCCCCACGTACAGAATACCCCGGGCACCACAACGCACGGGCTCACAATTTAATATGCACGGCGAACGCGCACGCACGGGAAAAATATACGCTCGTGCGCACACGCAAGACACCACACAACGCACAGGCTCACCACACCAGGGCACTCCCCTCCCTCCCCGTACTCACAACGACACGGTTTAATGTCTACTGGTGGTTTATTCTCTGTTTAATTAGCCAACCTACCTATATCAGTGTGGACCAGCAGGGCAGATCTACCCTATCCCCCGGCTGTTTAGGGCTCAATTTGCCTAGTCTCTCCCTACTCACCCCTCTACGGGATTTTCTCCTCGGGCTTACCTCTCCACTCTATACTTACGCTCCAACCTCGAGGTGTAGGAAGCTGCGGAAAGGCGAGGCTGCACGTGGCTTTGGGTGGGGAAACTGGACCCGGCTGCTCTCTGACCCGTCTCACGGACGTTCGAGTAGCAGGAAGATCACGACTCCTCGATTCCTCTCTCCAGTTGACCCCCAGCGCAAAGAGACCTTGCTTCCCAATCCCACTCCTTTTTATGCCCCAGCTTCAAAGCCTACGTGCCGCCGACCCGCTGGCCCTTCATCCAATCGGCAGCCTCCCCTCTGACCCTCCGCCCCCCATTGTTTAAACAAGCGCACCGCATCATGATCATTAACCTGTGCCGCATCATGGGCATCAACCTGCGCCGCCCCGCTCCCCACCTGCCTGCTGGTCCGCGTTTGCCTTGGGCATTTCCTCATTGCCGTTCTCAGTGAGTTCGCCGTGGCCGTACAATTTTAAGTTAATCCACGGCGCCGCAGTGTCATTCGGCCTGGGAGGGGCTCTGCCAATTCCCTGGCCCTGAGAAACCGTGGAGCACCCCCACGAGGGGGTCTCTCGGGTAAAAACTCAGGGGCAGGTGACCCCCCCCCACAAGGCCCTACGTGAGGGCATGTATGTGTTTATGTGGGGGGGGGGGGGGGGGGGGGGTGGTGGGGAAAGCGCTGTGATGGAATCCGGGTGGCTTCGCTGTCGCAGCAGCACAGCGGCGGCTCCGGCCTCGGCGGAGCGGCTTCGCTGTCGTGGCATCACAATTCAACCCGCAAACATCGGATCAGAACCAGTGATTGTGCAACAGGCCGCCTCACATCCACAACTACCCACGTTACCACAGCAAGTCTAACCGCAGTAATAAGAGAGCATGTGCCCAGTCACGTCTCGAGCTAGTAAATGCGATATTCGTGGTCATGTGTGAAGTTTTTTTTTTTAAACTGTCACGTAGACCCTTGCACGAGTGGCCCCCGTCTCGTTGTTACCGAAGCAGGATTTTTGACGAGTTGTAAGTTACAATAGTGTCCAGTGTGCGCTCATCACGACGCCTCCGTCCTGTGTAAACGTACGAAGTGTTGCATCTTTTTTTGTCACCGCACTGATGGCTGCAGGAACCCCGCTTGCCACAATTCACTACCGTGGTCCATGTGGGTTGGTGAAGGATGGGGAGCAGAGGTGTGGGAGCATAGAAATACAGGACCATGGGTTTTTCTATACTGGCCACAACACATGGGTGTTGTGGGCAGTACTGTATATCACACACACACGTCCCTTGTGTATTCCTACAGGCTGTAGAGACGGCCGCTGTTTGCGAGCACCTATTAAGGCTTGCACCGCGCATCTGGTGGTGTGACCAATACCGTGCCCAGCAACCTTTGTCTTGCTGATGTCGATGTTTACGCACTGCACTCGGTGCTCATTTAAGGCCCGTGTGGTACCAGGGTTAGGGCACGATCCCGACACGGTTATATCAGTGGGTGGGATCATGGGGCATGAACCACTGTGCTACCACTCCCCACACACACTCACAGACCCACAACTACACATACACAACCACACAAAACAGAAAAACATCCCGCCTTAACAGATTGTTGGGCAAGTGCTGTAAGCGAGCACCTATGAAGGTTAACGCAACACACAGAGGTTAGGTGGCCAGCACCACACCCAGTGGCGATGTTTACACACTGCACCATGTACTCGGTTGCCCCCGAGTCGATTTTGGGGTGGCCTGGGACTGATCATTGAGGCAGGAATCGAACTCTGGTGACTGGGACCATAGGGCAATATGCTAACCGTTACACCACCGCTCCCCACACCCATTCAGACCTAGACACTCCAACACACACATATACACACCCAAACAATACACGTTGGATGTATAAAGCTTCTAAATTTGGCAGCTTGGGGCTTGGAAGATGCATTTCTTTTATGAGTCATTGGAGGCAGTAACGAACTGGAGGGCAGAGGGTAAAGGGGCTAATAAAGGCCCTTCATAAAGCGAGGCACTCAGTCATAGGCAAGAGCAGTGGAAAGTCTCAAGTCTGGTTTTGAACCAGATAAGGGTCTCTTCAGTGCAAATGGCTGAGGGAGGGCATGAGATGCCACAGGGGGCAGCTACAGAGAAAGAGTTAACCTCTCACTAAATGGAGTTTGACGAGTTACTGGAGCAGAGAGAGAATATGTGGAAGGCAATTGAGTCAGATAACGGTCGCGAGACCGAAAATGTGACGTAAAATTAGTTGGCAATTGACAATGGGCACACTTAGGAAAGAGCACCATCAGTTTCCGTCACCCCTATGGTCACAGTGGCGTACATAAATCGATGAGTGGAATTCAAAATAATCAATAGCCCTGGATGAAGTGCTCTCCACGCCGTGTTGAGCACGTGGGTTTTTCAACCAGACTTCACGACAACGGTCAGTTTGCTTGGGTTATGGTCCGTGGGAAGGCTAGTACTAGTGACGGGTTGGCTAAAGGGTTGGCGATATGGCTAGTCTCTTGAGGTGGAGCATATTAAGCAACACAACTGATTACATATCCTCTCCATTGTAAGCTGCACCCTTATCGGTTTTGGCCATGGTTCATTTCTGGTGTTAAGTGCAAATAGTGAATGGAGGGAAAGTGCGGGGAGGGGCAACATGGGGTGTGAATATCCTGCCAGGATGAACCCATCATCCAGCGCACACCAGGCGCTCATGGCTCCAGTTCAGGATCGAGCGAAAGGTCCCAATTGATGTAAATCGCACGAATGACCTCCCCTGCTCTCACGGACGTGGGGGCTGGGAACCCTGGCCGCCGCCGCCTCCGCCAGTAAAAGCCCCGGGGGGGAGCCACGTTCCCTACATGGCAGACATCGGAGCCCACGGGGTTTGGCTTCACGCTCTTCACTTTGGCTCAACCTCATTGGCATCCATTAAGAGGCCGGTGCGCACGGCAGAACAGTCGTCTCGACCGATACCCGGCTGTGGTGGAGGGGCTTCCATATGGACAACAAAGGGGGGCTCCACGGTTGGTTTTGCAATGGGATTGACATATGCGGTACCGTCGCCGCACTTTTCACCGCTCTGTTAACTTGCCCCGGTAAAAACCGTGCAAATTGACCGAGCACGTGGAGCTTTGCTGCCATGCATAAAATGTTGGGTTGATCCGAGTGTCGGCACGCGAGACCCCCTCCTCATCGCCGGCATTTAGGGCGCTGGTGCCAGGACCCTTGTGTGGCGGGCATAAGGAAAGGAGGGACCCCTTCCCTTTGCAACCATGACGGCGTCACTCGCGCCTCCAGTCGTTTATATCGAGCATGCAAGCCAGGCCAGTGATAAAGAATGTTATTGAGCGAATGACAGAAATACAACACTCCAGAACACTGTGCTTATTTCCATCACAATTACACGAATCGCAGCAGGGGGAAGCTTTAAAATGGTGTGGGCCTCTCCCGAGGTTCGGCACGCAATACACACAATCGCGCGTTTGTTACAACAAGAGAACCATCGCTCGTGCCAGAGTTAAGGGGCTTAATTGCTCACGCAACACGGCTCCTGCTGGCCCATGGCTATGGACTCAAAAAGCCGCTGAATCAGTGTCGGGCGCTGCTGATGAGTTTGATCTTGCCCCTGAGAAGTTTGGGCGGGTTTGTGGAGGTGGGGGTGTGGGAGCCGAGAGCCACACACACTCATGTTCCCACACACTTAGCATGCAACTGTAGCGTTTGATAACCACAAAATGCTGGCAATATCTCGTCCGTCAATCAGTAGCCCGAACCATATCCAATCCCCAAACCTCACCGTGGCCATTAACGTTTCCCATTAATTTGCAATGGCGGTTCAGCCACCACCCCACCGCACACCCAAACTGAAAGTAAACCTCAAGCATAACCCACGAGTGCGCAATTTAAAAATACAATTTACTTATATGGCAAAAACTATTAAGGAAGTGCGTTTTAACAAGCGACCATTTTAATTTCTCTATCTCCATTCCAATCAATGCAATTTCACCCAGAATTTTGAATCATCATCCTGTAACGAAGGCATGGAGACCAATCTGCCCACAATGGGGTCGAGATGCTGGCGGTTGGGTCGGCAGGGCCTCCGGAAGCACACGACCTATAGCCCTATGTCGTACGACTCCATGTCATTGGCTGCGTAGCGCTTTCCAAACTCCTTGTAGGTGTCCATGTCCGTGAATGTCGCTAGCACAGCCGCATCCTTCATCATGGCCTCCCACCAGGCCTTGAGACGAGGCAGCGCATCCAGCACCCTGCAGGCACAGACAGAACAGGACGGGCGATATCCAATGTTAAGATTGAAAGTAATAATAGGTTAAAAAAAAGGATGAAACAATTATTCCTATATCATGCTCCACATTTGAACCACATTTCAAGGCTGCGTTATTGCATAACAACACATTACAATGCAAATTTCAGTATAAATATGCAGAATAAAAAACACCATTAAACAAATCGGCTACAGTTAACCTCATTGGTGATTGATATCTGAACCGGTTATAGCCCTCTGCTTTACCAACCCGCACTGCCCAGCATGGTGAAATGTTAAAACAACCACTTTTACGAATACAGCATGGGGAGGACTTCATCCGATTGCCAGAAAAGCATACCTGATACTAAAGACTGCTTTTCAGGAGAAGCCTGCACTGGGTGAATCAATTAAAAACCGTGCCCCACATATATTCCCACGGGAAAAATGCCAAATCACCATGATGGAATATAATGTCCACGGCCGTGACAATGTGACGTCCTCTTCTCACATCTCTGCGGTTAGCTGCACTCACCGCAGTGCACCCACGGCGGGCAGCCGTTCCATCCACGGCCACACCATGTAGTCGGCCATACTGGGCCGGGCACCACCCAGGAACGTCTCGCCCGAGGCCTGTAGATGCTTCTCGTATGGTGCCAGCGACCTCTGGAACTCCCCCTCCACCTCGACGGCACTCTCCTCCTTCAGCGAGGCGCTAAAAATCTTGTAGAAGAGGCTCACCACCTGGCAGCACGCACAGCGGGGCTCATTAACAAGATGGCACCAATTATTGCCTTGTCAACAAATGAATGTGTGCCTAATATTTAACCGGACGAGGGCTCATTGACAGTGTTTCCAATGTGTGAGAGACATGGACAGGTGTAAACTGCATATATTTGGGAAAAGCTATTTGTGTTTTCAGTGATTCACTTTACAGCATCGTGAGATGCGGTTTTCTTTATATGGAAGATACATCCTAAGTATTGCATTTGTGTATTTTTATGCAACTGTAGAGACACAAATAGAGGTTACTACGTTGTTGCGCCAGCCACGGTTTCTGGAGTGCCGCTGAGCGCCGGGAGCCTCCATTGGAGGTTTGAGGGATACGTGACCGGGAGCGGGGAGCTCCGGCCTTCATACAGCAGGGGGCATGGCCGAGGGCGGAGCGAGGCCGTGGCCAAGAAATAAAGGGGGAGCGCCGAGGGGATTCGGGGCTCGTTCTGTGGGGATCAACTCTAAGCTCTTCGTTCTTCGCTCCTCACTCGTCGCTCCTCGTTCGTCGTGCAGTCTGGACTGGGATTCGTGGGTCAAGCAGCATGTGTGCTGCTGACCCGTTCGTTTAGTTTAACTCGTACGCACATAGCGATAGATAGCCACACCTAGCTAGCAGACTCAGTGTTCATAGTTCGTTTATTAAACGTGTTGCCTCCAACTTATATTGTGTGCGCCTCCGTGTTGGTTACACACTACACAATTATAAATTAGACTCTGGATGACAACAGTAAAAATCCACCTACAGTAATTCCTTCCAAGTGGGATGAAGCATCAAAGATTCAGTGCATGACGTAGGTCAGATACTATCCAAACTGAACACTTCAAAGTCTTGTGGTTCCGATGGTATACTAGGCATTGTAGGTATTTCGTGTACATGTATGCACACGAGTGTGTAGGTGTATGTGTATGTCTGTGTGACTCATTGCTCCAAACACGCTGTCAGAGCTGACAATTCAGGTGGCTGTCTCTCTCTCTGGGAGACAAGTCTCAGAGAGTGAAGCAAACGCACACACACACACCCAGGGGTGCAGGCTTACAGCATGTAACGCACCATCTGGTAGGAGGTCGGAGGCCCAAACAAACAACAGCCAATGAGAAGAGCAGCGTCAATAATTGAGATGAATAATCCCACCTCATCCATAGAGGTTTTTTGGGTTAGATCGCATAAATATATAAATGTGTCGTTATAATAGCCACCACCCGACACAGCCAAATAGTAATGGTTGTCACGTAAACAGAAAATGCCAATTCGTCACTAGTACAGCACTAACCGGTGTGTCGGGGAGCCAAGCCACAACATTTAACATTTGAGTACGACGTTTCACCAGTAATTACAACTAGCTTCATCAGGCGACAGCCAGATTTGTGTAGAAGTTCACCTGTTTCATTCCTTATATAGAGGCGTAGATGTGGTGGCCACACTTCTGTGCTCTTGCGCAAAGTGGGGGGGGGGGGGATTAATGAGTCAACGTACATTATGCACGCACATTATGCGAGCCCATTTATCTTGTCCTTGTTGTCCATTGTGTGTATTCAAATAGCCATACCAACGGTAATCCCTATTGAAGTATGGTGGTCTGTATAGGCATGCATTTAAACAATGTATTATTAGATGGTTCGCTTCCACACAGCACTTAGTCGGTAGCTATCCGAACGGTTAACATTTTTGTTTATTTCTTTCAATTTCGATAGATTCTCGTCGTACTCCGATTGCAAATGTTGTGGCTTGGCTCTCCAACACACCGGTGTGCTGTACTAGTGACGAATTAGCATGTTCTGTTTACATGACAACCCTTACTAGTTGGCTGTGTCGGGTGGTGGCGGATTTTAATGACATATTTACGCAATCCAACTCAAAACAAAAACCTCTATTATGGATATTTGTCGCGAAAGCCTACGTGTTAAACAATCCCACCTCAGACTGCTGTAGTTGTTCTCAATGTAGGTTTGTGATTATTATACTTTGATGTGCAGTTGCGAAAGCACAGGCCCAAATGCCTATATTCCAAAGTGGCTGGCAACTAACAGCACCGATGATGGAATAGCAAATAAGAACTAACACATTTCTTCAAACTGAGTGAGCTTAAACAAACTTGGGAAAAAGAGATGGTAGCAGGAAGTTATAAAGCATAAGTGAAAGCACAAATGATAGTATAGCAGATAATAAAAAAAACATTCCGTTAATATTAATAATGTCGACTTGTAACATGCTGCACAGTATTTACTCTTGAAGTGAAACAATGACTCCGAGGAATAAGGAACGGCAAACAAGCGGGTAAGGGAGCCACGCTTCAGGCCAGTGTTAACAATTGCTCAAACTCTGCGGTCCTAATATATATTAAGATGTTTTCAGTCAATGAGTGTGTATAAATGTATGAGGAAACCAGAGCACCCAGCGAAATGCTCGCATGTGAGGGGGCAACACTATACATGTAGAAGGAACAGATGGAGTCCACATTTACTGTACCGCTTTCTCCTGGAGTGCCAGAGTATGCCCAGGAGAAGGGAATTTAACAACATTTATGTCAAGCATCAACAATCGCCTCCAGGATACAGGCGTGTGCTACCACCACTTGCTAAAACTGAAAGTGATGATTGGAACTTTGAAAAAGGGATATGGAGATAATTCCAAAGATTAGCAGCGTGAGAAAACAAGATACAAGAGAAATAATTTTCTGAATACAGCATGGATAAGAGGAAACAGCCACCTGGTTGAATGAGTCCATGATAATGGTTGAAGTGTAGTGACTGGGAATGTCACTGTGTGGTGCCGGGCTTGTGAGGCCATGTATACTGTTGGGTGTACACCCCGGACACGGGGTGTAGTAACAGCCCTAGTGGGGGCTTGGGTGAGCGCTGGGTAAGTGCGATGGCCACGCATAGCGTGCAGTGCGGGCTCCCGTTGAGAGAGCGAGAGAGTGTCAGCCAGCTGGGGTTACGTTAGGGGCATGATACTCTGGCTGACCTGGGGACATGTGACCGGATGATACTTGAGGGGGGGCACCGGTGGAGGGAGCTAATGGGTGGTCACGAGGTCCGGGAAGAACTCTCGAGAGCTTTCGGCAAAGGGTGAGAGAGATCGAGAAGGTGGGTGGGGCGAGAGGCGGAGCCAGCCCCAGCCCGGCTCAATATAAGGGGGACCCTGTGAGAGGCTCGGGGTTCTACTGTTGGAAAGGCATGAGATCTACGTCAAGCTTGAAGTCCGGGACCCAGCTTGTGGTCCGGACCGGGATAGTGGAACCCTGTCTAGTTCCGCCGTAGTGTGGTTAGTTGGGTGGTCACCACCCGAGAGTGTGTTGTGTTAATAGCCTGGAGTATGTTGTGCTAAGAGTTGAATAAAACGTGTTGCTCCCAAGACAATGTCTGCAGCTCAGTTGGACTCACAACAGAAGTATCAAGGAGTGAAGTTCATAAGAACATTGACCATGGTACTAGCAATAAAAGACTGACAAGAAGGAAGTACATGTACGATAATTCTAGTGAATGGAGTGAATCACTGAGCGCTGGAGCAGCAATCCAGTAAACTGCTACAAAACAGATTATATTGAGCAGAGTAAAAAAGGATCTGGCAGCTCCACCCCTGATATAACGTATTCCAGCTTCGTCCAAAATTGTGATTAAATGAGCACGAGCCATCTCAAAGCGAAGTGTCTGACCGTGAGTGGGTGGTGTGGCAGAATGATTAAATACACAACACGTACTCAGGCAAAAAACACGTATCCCCATCCATTTATAGTCACACCCTTGGACTACATGGCAAACAAACGGTAGTTCGGGAGACCCGTACAAACGAAGGGGGATTGGCCTACTTTGTCTTGCCTGCACCTGTGTTTATACACCAGTCGATTAATAATTTTAGACAAGAGTCAACCTAGGAGTGGCACAATGCAGTTATAAAGAACCACATTGGATCACCACCAACCTGCACGTGTGTCGATCCAAACAGCGTTTGTAGCTACACTGTCCGAGAATGTCCACACGAGTTCTTTCATGATGAAAAAACATAAATTGGCTACAGGAGACCTGTGAATATCGCGGGGGTTACGTTCTTGTAAAGTGCTGCAAAGGCCAAAACCACGATATTCAATACTTAAACCTTACCTAAATGATGGGGTTAGGTACACGGCAACCAAAAATAGACATCACACTTCAAATAAATACTGTACTGTATGCCAAATAAACTGAATAATTGAAATAAACATGTAAAAACCCAATACCAAAAACATTCCTAGAGAATAAATAGTAGTATAAATACTTAATAAAGCCTGTACTTAGCATTCATGATGATGATCCAAAGCGGGTCTGTGTGTTTATCCGCAAGTGGGGAGCGGTAGTGTTACGGTTAGCTCGTTGCGCTATGAACCCGGCGACCCAAGTTCGATTCCCGTTCACGCCCAACACTAGTGACGATTGTCTGAATCTGTCCTGGGCCTCCCCTAGATCGACTCAGCCTCAAATGAGGATCTGGTGCGATGTGTAAACATCGCTACTTGGAGATAAAGGCGGCCGATCGTGATGCTGGCCACCAACCCCTTTGTGTCATAGGTGCTGGCTCATAGCAGTTGCCCCAACAGTATGTTAAGGCTATATGGGGGGTCTGACTTTGTCTGCAAGATGCTTGCAGGGCAAAGGTTGAGGCGCCACTAACTGCCTCGCGTCCCTCGCGCACCCCGCACCACGGTTCCAGCCAATGATACAGCACTTCTGGGTACAGTCTACCCGTGAAACGCCAAAACTAACCCATGTGAAAGCTAAATTGGTAGACAAAGAGGTTACTCGCGATAGGTACAAAATGCGAACGATAAGCCCGTGATATTCAAGGGTCTCTTGTACTTTTAACAAACGTTACTGTGAACTATAATTCTTGATAAAAATAATGTTTTGGTGAACTAATAAATGGTCATTGACATCTTAGGACCGAAATATTGTGATGCAATTCACTCTGGGCAGTAGCAAATGGGGGTGGATAGGCGGTGCGCAGTTGTGCATGCACTGCACTGTGAACTCTGTGACCGGGCATCGATTGCATGAAACCCATACTGACCAGCACAGGGATACTACACCTATGACTGGTGCGGGAGCCTACATCCAGCAGTGGATTTAATAAAGGATGCAAGTTGTTTATTTATTTTAATGAGGATTCATGCCTATAAATTAATTGTGCATTTGACCATAACTTTAAAAGTGTTTTTTTCTCATTAATGAAGTTTTAAACTTTTGTCGGAACAGTCTTGAAACAAAACCTCGGACATGTACCTACAAGACGAGAGATATGTTGCACTTCGAAAACTTTGTTGTCATGATGAATAACTCGAAGTTGTAAGCTGTTGCACGAGAACCTGAAGAAACTTCTGGTCTCAACGACCTCTTATGCGGTTTCAGTAAAGCAGCTGCATTGTCTCTTTTTTATTTAATCTGCCGTCGATACAGATCGTGTTGAGCTGTGAAATGCTGCAACAATGTTTAGAGCTGATAGGATCAAGTAATCGACTGATAATTGTAATTGACTACAATTAAGTGCGTGACTTGGCCAATGCTGCTGATGACATCAGTAGGCCCTGCTAATCACCTCCAGTCCAGCGGCATACATTCGAACAAAAGTAATATTTTTTTCTCCAACTATTTTTCCGTGATAGTAGAGTCATTGAATCGATGTATTATATGATTTAATCAATCGGATTGCCTGGCTCTAGTTGATTGACATGGAAAGATTTGACTAAAGCTGGTCTCCGCAACTTTAAGTTATTCATTCCAGGGGATATTACAATGTTTTGGTGACACTGTAAATTGGGAGGCGCCACAGTATTCGATGAAATCTAGATCCGAAGTTTTCGTGATTGCAGGGATCCATACTCTTTGGTTCTTTCGGTAAAGTCACGTAGGTATAAAATAAAATAAATTCAATCACGACGTTTCGGAAGCAACACAAGCGTCCGTCATCAGATGGAACAGCCACAGCCAGAAACAAATTGCTCTTTTGCCCACTACAGCAATTTGTTTCTGGCTCTGACTGTTCCACCTGATGACGGACACTTATGTTGCTTCCGAAACGTCGTGATTTAATTTATTTTATACCTACGTGACTTTATTTGATTACTTAAATAACCAAATATACCAGCTCTTGCGACGTTGCTCTTCCATACACACCTTGCCGAATCCCTCGATGAGCAGGCGCTGCTTGGCTTGCGCGTAGGGCTGGCCCCGTGGGTAGAGGGGCGGCTCGGGGTACAGCTGATCTAGGAGGTCGGACACCACCAGGGACTCTGGCACCAGCTCGCCGCTGTCGTTCTCCAGCACTGGCACTAGCCCTCCTGGACATCGCTCCAGGAACCATGCCGGCTTCGCCTTCAGGTGGATGTTCACCGTCTCGTACCTGCCCACCAAGCCACGTAACAACGTGCAGCGAAAGTTAGTTGTCGACTCCAAATAACCGCTCATGAGAAATGTTTTAATTGTATGAATGTATAAAGCGTCTAAACATAGGAGTACGTCAAAATGTTGCAAAAGACGACAATATAGACGTAAAACGTAATACAAAAATAAAAACAATACAATTACTCTTAATTCCTGGTTTCATCATCTGAGGTTGCTTGATGCAGTTTCAAGTAACCCGTCATATCTAACTGCTAAATTCACTTAAGAATTGTTCCTCAAATTACCGGTGAAGTGAAACTAAAATAATTAGCACATTTAAGCCTTGTACATGCGACAACTTAATTTGTTTGGCTATCTCGGGTGGTCAGGGATTTCACAACAAAAATTTGGCAATATCATTTTTGGACCTAAGCCAAAAATCAATAATGAATCATATCGACTGCAAAAAGCTACGTGATAAATAAAAATTATGAAAATACCAAAATATAATGAAAACACGAGCTGAGCAGATTGAAGAGGGATGGCAATAGCGCACAGGCCATCAACTACCACAACACCCAAGCGAATGAGGAGTGTGTTTATCTTTAGAAGCAGCAACCAGGGCACAAGAGGATAAGCAATTATTTGGATGGAGGTGGAAAGGTGATCAATTATTCAGTAATAGCGCTGCCTCCTATAATGCTGTTTCCTTATAATGCTCTTTGTCCTGGAAGAAAATTGCTGCGGCGATCAGCCCATTTGTGGAGGAAAGTAGGCGTGGCGTTGCCCAGAGGCGTCTCTTTGCCCGTACATGGTCTTGTGGAACTTTTAATTGAGATTTCTATTGTATTGATTCTGCTCAGTCGATCCAACAGCCACCTTTGAGTATCAATTGAGGGTTAATCACTGCATCGATTCATTGATAATTAATCTATGGATCGAGTAATCCCATTGTTTAGTACTGCATGGTTTCCTGGGGCGACGTGTGTTTCCGGCATATTGTGGTTATTGTTACGCAAACTCGACCGAATGCACTTGTGAGTACGTAACTTATTGTATTATTTTATGTTATTACCATTAAAAGTTAAGATTTTTATTGATAAAATGCTTTCATACATTTATCATGTGTACAGTATCATTATTAAGGCCATTACCGATACCCCAATGAAGCCCTCAAGAGGTAAAAAATAAAATCGCGGTCGAGAACACATCTCCATTGGAACCATGCTATAGTGACCTCTTATAGCGCCGTTTCGTACAGCGCTCCGTTTACCAAGAACGCATCCTGAATGCTACTGGAGGTATGCCTGTACTGGGATATTGGCGGTGATACTACGATTGCGTTTAGACGGGATGTTGGCCTCCCAAGGCTGCCAGTGACGACATGCGTGTACCCACTCGATGCCCTTGGCTGCCAAAACAAGACGGGGCCTTTGGGCGAAGGGGCAGAAGCGCATGCTGTAGAGGCGCAGCTTTCCGGGCGCCACCGCTGCTGGCGCTGGGTCGCCTGCAGAGGTCGAGGTGTAGGAGAGCACAGAGACATGTGCGTGTTGAACTTCTTTCGCACCGTACGTAATCAACCGCGCGAATCGGAGATGCGGATCAAGGGACCCAATGGATCATGGGGCCTTCAGTGAGCACCTCTGATGGGTCTCCGACCCACTGCTAGTTGCTTATCTGCAGAATTGTAGACCTTTAAAATTGACTCCGCATTAACACCGAATCCCAAAGAAGTCTTGATCTAGCTCTATGAGCCTCAGTTATTAACAATGATCCTGAAGTATCCCAAACGTGTCTTGGTCTGGCTCTATGAGCGTCAACTCATTGACAATGCACTCTCATAAAGCCAATCATGCCCGAGTCTGGCTCCATGAGCATTCGGGATTATTAAATAACAAAATTATACGCGTATTGGCTCTGCGCAATACACATATAAAAATATACAGGACTAAAAATAGAATTCATGCTCTTTTATACTTATGATAGAAACCATGAAGTAATAATTACAGTACAATGCAACCACAACAGTGTTTGCTCTGAACTGAGTGATGCCAAAACATTCTGCATACCACCGACTCACTGGCGACAGATGCCCTTTAGCTGTACAGAGTTGGCATTCACTTTGTTCATCAACTGTTGGATGAAGGCCTCCCCATGCAGTGTCACCTTTTAAGCGTAGTTTGACCATACTTCACCATTGCAGGTTTGTGTCGATTCGTGAAGGGGGGAGGTGAGCAGGACAGGTTCTGGTCTCGCTCACCACCGATGTTACAAATAAAAATTGTATTTAATGTTATGCTAACTGGAGAAGTCTTTACCGCGGATCCTATAATCTGCGGGACTATCCGCAATTTTACTCTTATCTGCGGATAATAGAATGAATTTGCCAAATCAACTACTCTCTCTTATCCGTGGAAAACAAAAATCGTATTTGTAAGCAACTTCGCTTATGCATTGCGGGGCAAAATCACGGATAATCGGAAGAAACAGGGCCGTGGATATTTTAAGTTTTTGCAGATCCGACAGCTGCCGCAGATATAATTGATTTCGTGGATAATGGGGAGTCGCGGGGAAGAGGCGTTCTCCTGTAGCTGTGGTCATGAATCAAGCCTGCCAACCAACCTCTTGCTCCTCATACACATCCTCATACAAATCACCTGCAGGCATGATCTATCCACTGATGGATGAACGTCTCCCTACGCCGTCGCGCTCATAATTACAGATACTCTGTCGTATCACAAACGCAGTCTCGTGCACTGCTAGGTGCAGGCTACAGGAAGGGAACAACGCAGGCTGGGAGACGGCCCCAGGCTGCGATGAAATCGGCCCATAGCCATGTTACCAAACAGGTTAAGACGGGTGACTGCATTGCAGCAGAGACCGGGTGAGAGGCTCGTGAAGGACGCCGCTGTCACTGGACAGTTGGAGGCAGTCGCCCTTCAGCAACGGAGGGCATAGGAGCGGCGCTCACAACAATGAGTGGAGCACCGGGTGGTTAAAGCACAGCAAGTTGGAGCAGTAGGGGCCACAGCTGGTGGTGCATCTACCGGTCATCTCAGTCAGCCAACCCATGGCACCGACAGGGTCTGTCCCGTCACCTCCTGCCAGCAGCGAGCCTTCGACAATTCACGTGGCACCCTCAAAGTGCACCTAGCCTGGCACAGGCGCCGTGGTGACGTCATCGTCATTTAGTGGCGGATGGCGGGCGTTGGTATTGATTACAGTTATAGTTGGAAGGGGGGGAAGGCGGCCTTCATCCAGCAGTGGACTGATCATGACGTATGGTGGTGGTAACGATGATGAGAGGCAGGGTCTAGTTTCATGTACAGTCAGTGGTGAAATTATAGTCAGTTCAGCAAGTCGAACCCGCACGGCTTGCACGGCATGAGTGGGGAGGCCTTCATCCAGCGGTGGAGCAACAGCATAACCTGTCAACCCCCTATCAGTGCCAACCTTATTACTGACCAACTCACACCTTATTGGTCACCCCGTGCCCCGTATAAATCTCAACGTTCATCCTACAAAGTCCCATCGTAAGGTAGAAACACAAACAAATAAGACAAAAACTAATGCTTTGCCCGTATTGAAACGGCTGTACGCTGTATGGGCCTGAAACTCAATTTCCCTGTACAACAATATGGGCCAAACAGTATGGGTTGACACGGGATGCAATTGGGGCCTTCATCCAGCAGTGGATCAACGAAGGGGGAGGTGGAGGAGCTGTAATGAATGGCGAGGTGGAGGAGCTGTAGTAAATGGCGAGGTGGAGGAGCTGTAATGAATGGCGAGGTGGAGGAGCTGTAGTGAATGGCGAGGTGGAGGAGCTGTAATGAATGGCGAGGTGGAGGAGCTGTAATGAATGGCGAGGTGGAGGAGCTGTAATGAATGGCGAGGTGGAGGAGCTGTAGTGAATGGCGAGGTGGAGGAGCTGTAATGAATGGCGAGGTGGAGGAGCTGTAGTGAATGGCGAGGTGGAGGAGCTGTAGTGAATGGCGAGGTGGAGGAGCTGTAGTGAATGGCGAGGTGGAGGAGCTGTAGTGAATGGCGAGGTGGAGGAGCTGTAGTGAATGGCGAGGTGGAGGAGCTGTAGTGAATGGCGAGGTGGAGGAACTGTAGTGAATGGCGAGGTGGAGGAGCTGTAGTGAATGGCGAGGTGGAGGAGCTGTAATGAATGGCGAGGTGGAGGAGCTGTAATGAATGGCGAGGTGGAGGAGCTGTAGTGAATGGCGAGGTGGAGGAGCTGTAGTGAATGGCGAGGTGGAGGAGCTGTAGTGAATGGCGAGGTGGAGGAACTGTAATGAATGGCGAGGTGGAGGAGCTGTAGTGAATGGCTAGGTGGAGGAGCTGTAATGAATGGCGAGGTGGAGGAGCTGTAATGAATGGCGAGGTGGAGGAGCTGTAGTGAATGGCGAGGTGGAGGAGCTGTAATGAATGGCGAGGTGGAGGAGCTGTAATGAATGGCGAGGTGGAGGAGCTGTAGTGAATGGCGAGGTGGAGGAGCTGTAATGAATGGCGAGGTGGAGGAGCTGTAATGAATGGCGAGGTGGAGGAGCTGTAATAAATGGCGAGGTGGAGGAGCTGTAGTGAATGGCGAGGTGGAGGAGCTGTAGTGAATGGCGAGGTGGAGGAGCTATAATGAACGGCGAGGTGGAGGAGCTGTAATGAATGGCGAGGTGGAGGAGCTGTAATGAATGGCGAGGTGGAGGAGCTGTAGTGAATGGCTAGGTGGAGGAGCTGTAATGAATGGCGAGGTGGAGGAGCTGTAATGAATGGCGAGGTGGAGGAGCTGTAGTGAATGGCGAGGTGGAGGAGCTGTAATGAATGGCGAGGTGGAGGAGCTGTAATGAATGGCGAGGTGGAGGAGCTGTAGTGAATGGCGAGGTGGAGGAGCTGTAATGAATGGCGAGGTGGAGGAGCTGTAATGAATGGCGAGGTGGAGGAGCTGTAATGAATGGCGAGGTGGAGGAGCTGTAGTGAATGGCGAGGTGGAGGAGCTGTAGTGAATGGCGAGGTGGAGGAGCTATAATGAACGGCGAGGTGGAGGAGCTGTAATGAATGGCGAGGTGGAGGAGCTGTAATGAATGGCGAGGTGGAGGAGCTGTAATGAATGGCGAGGTGGAGGAGCTGTAGTGAATGGCGAGGTGGATGAGCTGTAGTGAATGGCGAGGTGGAGGAGCTGTAATGAATGGCGAACAGGAACCAGTTCCACCAGCCGGGCGCGCACTGTACGTTACGCAACCGAGAGAGAGAAGCGACACCCCGCACATTAATAAAACAATTCTAAACACTGCGCAGTGTAGCTGTGTTCTCTCCCTCACACACACACACTACTGTGTGTGTGTGTGAGGGAGAGACAAACTCTCCCCCCCTCCCGCCCCACCGAACATGTGACAATGCGCAGTACTCGCCGTCCCTCAGCACCTTTCCCGCCATAGCGCCGCTCGTTGTCGATGGCGCGAGTGAAGTTAAAGAGAAGCAACCGCCGTGGGGAGAAGCAGGGCGAACAAGCTCTTGTGTCATCACACGCAGCAGCAGCAGGAGGAGGTGGTGCCAACAAGTGGCGAAGACAACGAACTCGGCAGAAACGCCCAGAAGCGGCTCTCTCGGCCGCTCTCGCCGTGACTTGCGGCGTGCGGCGTCCACCTTGGCCGGCCTACAACGTTGCGCAATGGCCGTAAACAAGTCGCACCACGCGCTGCTGTTACCCCTTCCACCCCGCCCCAACGACTGTTGACAAGAGGCGTCAACTCGTACGGCCTTCTTCCCCGATTCTTCGTGTAACAGGGAACTTGAGGGTTCAGGTCCGTACGGGCGCACAGCCGTTTGAACACGGGCAAACAGCAGCAACACATTACTTGTGTTTCTCTTTCTTGTTGGTGGGGACTTTAATGTAATAATAGGGGGGGGGGGTTTCCCCTTTTTTTCTGGCAACAAAACTGAAACCTTTTTACAAGGATTCATGTTACTGCATTAACCACAATACCTGCCGTCAAAATGCAAACAGAAAACATACGATGATAATATATGTATTGTACGCCTTCTGACGTCAGAAGGCGTCACACAGCTCAAAGACAATGCACTATCAAAGTAATGAGGGCTCGGGGTGAGCATCTACATCATTAGACCTCCTTTGCCAGTACCAAAATGTTTCAGTTTTGTTGACAGAAAAAAGGGGGAAACCCCTATTATTACATTTTGGTACTGGCAAATGAGGTCTAACGTCCACGGATGCAGATGGAGCACAGTTTTTATAGTTCAACCTCCAGTAATAACCAGGTCGGCCAACTAGATTCGAACCGCGGACCACTGCAATAAGCGGCAAATATGCTATCGCAAGCCAAGCCACGGATAAATTCCGCTCGAGCGAGGAGGCAAGGGTTTTTCACGAGAGTGCAGCGGGCGACACGAGGCCCCCGCACATGCCCTACGCCTTCACAAAGCTTGCAGGCGGGCCGGCCCCCCAGAGGGTCCTGGCCTGTAGCCAGGCACGCAGTCTCAATCTCCTGA